ATTCCCTGGACGACCCTTTCATCAATGAAATCCCCAAAGTCGAGCTCCATGTTCACATCGAAGGGACTCTGACGCCCGAGCTCCGCTTCAAGCTCGGGCAACAAAACAACGTCCCTCTTCACTCGAAGCGACTGAATAAAACCTTCACCACTTTGGATGAACTGAAAGGAATGTATAATCTCCTTCAGCCCCGGAGCATCAAAGGAGCAAATCAGGTTTCTGCATTTTTCGATGCATACTATGGTGGCATGGAAGTGTTGCGAACACAGCAGGATTTCTATGAGCTGGCCATGGATTATTTTGAGAAAGCTGCCAAGATGAATGTGAGGTATTGTGAACCCTTCTTTGATCCTCAGGCACACACCCGTCGGGGCGTGGAATTCAAAACATTCATGGAAGGGTTCAAGAGGGCACAGATCGACGCAGAGAGGGAGCTCAATGTTTGTCGCCCGAGGACTCCAGAACTTTAGTCCTCATTCAGCTGACGAGGAAAGGTTAAATCGCAATGGACTATGTGCATGCTACGCGACGTACCGCCCGAGTCAGCAATGGAACACTATGAAGCCGCACTGCCATACAAGCAGATGATCGTAGGCATTGGCCTCGACTCGAATGAGTATGACCGTCCGCCATCGCTCTTTGAGCCGCTCTACCTTCGCGCGCGGGCAGACGGCTTCAAATTAACTTGCCACTGCGATGTCACACAGAAAGATACGCACGAGCATATCCGGCAGGTGGCTGAGTGTGTTGGAGGCACGGGGGCCGACCGGCTCGACCATGGACTCGATGCTGCCGAGAAGCCTGAATTGGTTGCACTGATCAAGGAAAAAGGGATTGGGCTGACGCTTTGCCCCTGGGCTTATGTGAGGCACCACAAGGAAGAGGACCTCTTTGCGCATGTCAGGACAATTTTTGATGCTGGAATCAAGGTCAATGTCAGCTGTGACAGTCCGGCATATGTTGAAAGCAATTGGATTACTCAGAACTTGGCATTACTGAAACTGAAGGCCCAGTTCACGAATGAGGAGATTGCGAGAGTGGAGAAGGATTCTGTTGACATGTGTTGGGCCACAGAGGATGTGAAAAGAGTCATTCAAGAAGAGATTGAGACATTTTGTGCGAATTGTGCTTCGAGTTAGTAGAAGGAAGACATTTTTATTTCGCGTGGCGGTTGATAGTGTATATATGCTTCTTAGATGGAAGGTGGGCTTAAGCTTAGTGTAGTGGCTGATAAACATCTCAAAACCATTTTATGTTCTGAACAATTAGGCTTCGTCTGCATCGTGATATATATCTGTACGGCGAGGAGACCATCACTTGTTCGAATCTCACGCTGGTAAGTGGGCGTCTAATTATAGGGGCTGCAAAAGTGGTTTATCCCAACTTTGCAATGCCCGTGAAGAGGGAGAGAGACATACACAATTGAATAAACAAATAGTACTAACCAATATCGCACGAAAACTGGAACTGTCCTCGTTCTCTACTAGCACGTAATTCTTCAAGATAGGCGATGCTGATATAGGTAGTCAAGGGCAGTTACCTCAATAACCCACCAGAGCTTGTGAGAGACTCTCAGCTCAATGCAACGTTTGTAGTAGCTGTAGAGAGGAGTTAATGAGAAAGATTAGCCGAATTGCCACATGCTAATCCTCAGTTAGGCACAATGGGAGTGTTAGTATACGTCAACAAATTCTATTGCTCAAGCTATGGATTTGGGTATCTTGGTATTCTATTCTAGCGTGATACGTGTTTTCCATAGGAAATGTCTATGCTTTTTGCTGCGAGCATAAATTACCGAGTCTGGGTATAAGAACGATCACCTCCAAGGTCTTATTCCGACACAGAATCTTGGCAGGGAGTGAGATTGCGTAATCATCTTACATGACATATGCTGGCTGGACTTGGCGAGTCGGACTTGTTCAGTGGCTGAGCCTGGACATATCCGCGGAGCTCCATGGCTTGTAATTCCGAAGTGCAGTTGTCGCTTCAATCCCGCGGCCGATTGATGAAGTTGTGAGGCTGTGAAGATCGCAGTGGGAAGCGACCAGAACGTGCGCCTTCGCTGAGACGGGAAAAGAAATCAAGGGGTAAGCTCCAGTGCTGATCAAAGCTGACGTCGAGTAGTATATAAAGAGTGAACTCGTTGACAGTTTGAAATTGAATGTCACCAAATAACTCACTGACAGAGAGATTGATTTCAAGCATCTCCAAGATGATATTCAATCCCCTCAAACTTGCCGTTGTGGCTGCATTAGCTACTGGCTCTACTGCTAGTGCTGGAGAAGCCGACGTTTACGACTACGTTATCGTGGGCTCTGGACCGGGAGGAGGCTCCCTTGCGTGAGTGTTATATCTTGTTATGCTTGATTATTTCAAGAATTGCTAACTTAAGCAAAGCGCTAATCTGGCAAGAGAGGGACACTCAGTGTTCTTGATTGAAGCTGGAGGTGATAACCATACTAGTATTCTTCAACAACTCCCTCCACTGTGAGTTGAACATGGTGCCCGGGCCAGTCTCTCGGAAACTAACGGGTTTTCAGGGCGAGAACTGCTGCCGAGACGCCAGGACATTCTTGGCAGTTCTTTGTCAACCACTACGAAGACTTTGATCAAGCCCGTCGCGATCCAAAGTACACTTACATTCAGACAAATGGATCCTATTATGTTGGACTTGACCCGCCCGAGGGAGCGAGGCCGTAAGTACCTGGGCGGGCCATAAGGGGAAAACACCGTTTCCCGTTTGTTTTATCGATAATAACAGAGGTACATCATCTAGTGCGGGCTTGTATTATCCTCGTGGTTCTACCTTGGGTGGTAGTGCGCAGGTTAATGCCATGAACTTCCTCTGGTCCCCCGACAACGAGTGGGATTATATCGCCAACCTTACGGGCGATGACTCTTGGGGTCACGAGCACATGCGCCGACACCTCCAAAATGTTGAGAACTGCACCTATGTGCCGGTTGGTACTCCTGGCCATGGCTTCGAGGGCTACGTCGTTGTAAGACTCTTTCTTCTTGTTTCACGATGATCAAGATACTTATGAGGCGGTGTTGAGTTTAGAACGATCAGAGCGACGCTGCCCTGAGGCTTGGTGCTCCTAACGTGGCGAGTATGTTTAGCCAGATGTTTCGTGAGACTGAAGGCATTGATGTTCAGGACCCTTCTGAAATGTCTAAGCTCCTTCTCCGCGACGTGAATGGACCTGACCCTCGCCGCTATGAGAATGGCCTCATGTACAGCACGCCCGTCGCAATTGATCCTGCTACTGCTGCTAGGAGTGGTGCTGGTATTTACATCAACCGGATCATCGATGCTGGACACCCCTTGACTATTAGCTTCCACTCTCTGGCAACACGAGTCCTCACCAAGAAGGTGGGCAACAGGAAGCCTATCGCATACGGAGTCGAGTACATGGTCGGCGAAGGTCTGTACTCTGCCGACGGACGCTACAACCCCGAACAGACCGGCAAGATTAAGAAGGTCCACGCGAGGCGCGAGGTTATTGTTTCTGGTGGTGCTTTCAACACGCCGCAGATTCTCATGCTGAGCGGTATCGGCCCGCGCGAGGAACTGGAGCGTTGGGACATCCCCGTCGTTGTCGATTTGCCTGCTGTCGTGAGTGGCCTCCCCCTACCATTGACATGAGTCATTTTCAATATACTCATCATTCTTCCTTGCAGGGCTCCAACTTGCACGATAACTACGAGGTTCCTGTGCAATTTCGTGCCGAGCAGGCGTGGTTTCCGCCCACTGAATCTCAGTGCTCGGGCACATTTGATGACCAAGATCCTTGTTTCGTAGAGTGGCGAGACAACGCTGCTGGACCGTACGCAGCGCGCGACAGCAGCTACGGCGCGCTCTGGAAAAGCAGTCAGAGTTGGGACAATGACTCTGACATCATGTTCCTGAGTAGCCCTGGTTTGGCAGGATTGGCCGGATTCTACCCTGGCTACTCTAGAGGAGAGCTGGCCCGTAACGATCCCTTTGAGTGGCTGCACGCCGTTGTCAAGATGCAGACGAGCAACGCCGCCGGCACCGTGCGACTTAACTCATCAGACCCCCGCATTCGACCTAACATCAACTTCAACTACTTTGATGAAGCGACCGAGCGTGATTTGAGTGCCATAGTTGAAGGCATCGAGCTCCTCCAGCGCGCGTTTGACGGTACTGGTATCCGCAACACTTTGATCAACCCGGATCCAGAGAACTTGAGGCAGGGCATTCAAGACTTGGCCTTTAGCCACCACGCCTCATCCACCTGCTCTATGGGATCCGACGCTGCTACATCTTGTGTTGACTCGAAATTCCGCGTGCGTGGCGTCGACAAACTGCGAGTTGTAGACGCGTCCGTCTTCCCTCGCAGCCCTGGAGGCATGCCCAACGCTCCGACATGGACTATTTCTCGCAAAGCCTTCGAGACTCTCCTGGAAGACAACCATCGAGCATGAAGCAAATTAGGTTGGACTTCTGTTGGGTCAGGACATTCGAGGCAGTGACGTAGATGGGGATGGTATTATCAGTACTAAGGCAGATCGAGATGGAATTTCATATACACGAGACTATATAGATGAGTAGGACATTTATAGATTGTTTAGACTAGGCAGTTCAAGCGTGAGAAAATTCAATCGTATGGTTTCGTCATTGATGCGTCGTCGTGAACAATTATCAGGATATATTTTGAGCAATGAATATTTAGCTTCAGCGTGGTCGATCTGGAGGTATCCATCCCTCGGACTGGGGCCTAGGCCTCCTTTCGAAGTATTCACATGAGAGACCTAAACGGCAACCTGATCGAGCAGCTTCTTACTATCATTTTGGTAGCATAAACTTAAGGCTTTTTTAATCGAATATATTATTTCTTAAGAAAGCTGACGTAATAGAACTGCATGAATATTTTGATACCGTCTTGCACCGCTCGATCATGTACATCTCTGACAGACACACCGTGAAGTCTAAGATAAACAACTTTTACTTCATGCAACATAGTCCGAGCCCGTTACTAGCTTCGACCAAGTCCCACACCGGGATAGGCGCCGTAGTCAATCTTAGCGGGGGCTACAAGCCATCCCTTGTCATTGACTCTGTTGACACCCGCAAAGAATGCATCAGCAAATTTGTTGTATCCCTGAATGTTGGGGTGCTTCTCGTCGGAAAGATCCGCGTCGGTGATGTCAACGGCAGTGATGTGGATATGCTTTCCCTTATCTTGTCTCTCCTTGACAATAGTTTTGAGCTTGGCGTTGAAAGCCTCGCGGTTCTTGTTAAGGTGTGCCTTCTTGGAGTAAATGACAGGGACGACGAGGATGACAACGTCCTTGTATTCGTTGAACATGCCATCAAGCATATTCGCGTAGAGAGTGGGCGCCGTGTCTAGGTCTTCGTTCAAGTCCATGTTGTTTGTGCCCGCGTGGATGAGGATTAAGTTTGGCTTGGCCACAATTGGTTTCTGCCACTTGGTGGTGATGGTCTTGAGGGTCTTGCCGCTGTGTCCTTCGTGGTCGTTGTCGGCCATAGTGCCGGTTTTCAGTGTTCCGATCATATCGACCTGCGCTCCTGCTTGGACGATCAAGCCTCGGAGCCTTGATCGGTAGCCATTTGGATTCCCACCGGAGCCGTTTCCCCTAGTGATGGAGTCTCCGAGAGTTAAAATGCGTAGATTCGGGAGCGCTTTGGCTGTGACTAGGGTATAGAGGAGGGCGAGCACCCAGACGAGGTAGAAGCGAGCCATGGTGGTGAGGATAGGGGTCAGCACTGAAGAAGGAAGACTCTTCGGGTGGTTTACTGACTGAGGATTGAGTTGGCATCAGCTACCAATTAGTAGATCGAAGCTCAAGCTCTCAAGAGCGAGACCCATCAGCAGTGACCTCCTTTATAGCGCTAGGCTGGTATTGACTGTTCCATCTACCTCCACAAGTGGCAAGTAGTATTATGCATACTAGATTTCATTGGATACCTATATAAGCTTGACAAGGTATGAATGATCTTCTGTCCCATATGCTAAGAATAACTAAACATCTCGGCGCTCGACTGATGAGGGAAGCGCCGATATTATGCAACGTGTGTTAGTATCTATATTTAGCTGATGCCAAGGTCAGGCGCCACTCACCTCCCAACAGCCTTTAATAACTGTGTAATCCTTAAAGTAATTCACAAAAAAAAGCAACGTCAGTGGCTATAGCAACTAAGGTAAGTATGTAGGTACTTATGTAGATGACTGAGAAGCTCTGGCTAGACCCTAAGCCGGATTTTAGCCGGTCGGGTTACACACACAACCCCAGGCTATTTAAGCCCGATCCGCTAGCCTAATTAGCCTACCTAGTTTCCTTTACCCCAGACATCATCCCAGCAATAATAGCAAGGTTCCTCACCCAGTGACCTTCCAACAGCAACTGATATTACTGAGATCTGCTTACCCACGGGGGCCTTACTCTCATTCTTAAATTGTCTGTCAATAAAAAAACAACTTATACCCCAGAGAATGACATCTGCTCCCAAGCCTTTTGTATATACTCCCCTTGGTCCAGGCGAAATTCGAGTCTTGGAGCATCATGTGGAAGACGGCAGCAGCGAGCCAACTTGGATTCTTAGGGTCATTAACATTGGAGATGCGGGACAAGGGGTCCAAAATGTCAAGTTTGATGCTCTATCATATACATGGGGCGACCCTAAGGCGACCTTCCCGCTGATTTTGAACGGGCGGAAAATTCAGATCCATAGAAACCTGCATGAAGCCTTGCCCTACCTGAGCAGGCTTCCATCGCGTTGCCCTATTTGGGTTGACGCTGTGTGCATCAACCAGAAAGACAAAGCAGAGAAGAAGGTTCAAATCCCCAGGATGAAGGAAATCTACCGCCGTGCTATTCAAGTCTGGGTCTGGTTAGGACCGGGCATTGACCATACAGCTGAGGCGATCAAGCTTTTGCCTCGCATATCGCACACCGGTGAGGGAGACCCGCCAGCAGAGATGCCGGATGAGCTCCCGGAGCTAGACTCGCCGATATGGACCAGCATCTTCAACATTGTCGATAATAGCTGGTTTGGGCGCGTATGGATCGTGCAGGAGTCCGCGTTGGCCCGGGATCTTCGATTCCTCATGGGAAGGCATGAGATTAATGCTGAAATGCTCAAAACTGCCGTATCAACATCTAGCCGGTTGGCCGAACACTTCTTGAATGCGTCGATGCGGGACGAAGCCAAGAGGCTCATAGATACTCAGCGAGCAATGTCCATATTTGGAATACGCGACTTAGTTCAAAGGTCCTTCGCCCTGGACCCCAACCAGCCAAGAGCGCCTCGCGAACTCGTATGGATCATTTACCAAATGACCATAAACTCGGACTGTTCCGAACCTCGCGACCGGGTGAACGGGACCTTAGGCCTTCTGCCCGACGATCAGCGTAGGATTTTAGGGGATTTTAGCGATACAGCCAGCTTGGCAGAATTGTACGCAAGTTTTGGCCAACGAGTTTTGACCCAGCCGAACCCACCGGCACCCATGTGGTTTGCATTCTTGCATAGAGGCACCATTTCAGGAAAGAGGAGTAACCTCCCCAGCTGGTGCCCAGACTTCCATCAGTCTTCAGAGTCTCTCGCATGGTACGAGGATGGCATCACGTTAGGCTTGGACACGAGAAGGAACTTCCATGCGAGCCGGAAGGATATCACTGCACGGCCCGGAGAGGGCACACAAGAGCTTGTTTCTCTAGGGTGCCTCGTGGACGACATTTCCCAGATCCACGAACGGATTCCGATCCCCTTAGACTTTCTCAGGCGCGAAAATACTACGACAGATTACCTTGAAGCTTATCTATACCTAAGGGAATTCGAACGGAGTATTGCGAGGAACTCGCTTTCTCAAAGGGCTTTTGAAGTGACAGAGTCCCTAGAGCCCTTTGCCGGGGTCGAAAAGGATATCAGAGACGAAATAGACCGCCTCTGGAAAACGCTATTTAGCGGCTTTGAGACATTTCAGGGTCGCCAGGTTACAATTGAATATTACTATGCTTTACGACGCGGACTTGACGAGCTTGCAGCGTCCGTGGAGAGGTCTGGCTGGCGAGACAATGAGGTTTTTAGGGCTTTGACTATGAATGACCCGTTTCAGAAGGCATTCTTCTGTGCCATGTATAGTATTCTCCATCGGAAAGTATTTGTCACAACAGGGGGGCGGCTTGGCCTGGGTGGGGGCTCAATGCATACTGGGGACAAGATAATCCTCTTGAACGGAGGCCAAATGCCTCATGTGGTAAGAACTAGGCTGGGAGGAAAATTTTCACTGGTATGCGAGGCGTATCTATCCGGCGCAATGCATGGGGAGCTTGACGATCTCAACCTTCGTGAGCTAGATATCATTTTAGTTTAGATAATGCGACATTAATCGTAAGAGATTACAAATGGAGAAACTTTGCACGATGTTATGATATAAACATTGTGATCTCAGCTTAAGAAAATATAACCGAGTGACATGACATCTCGCCTCTCAGTCAAATCATGGGAATACTCATGTTTGATCCAGACGACTTTGCCCCTTCTCACCTGATGGTCTTTTCTGTTTACGATAACCTAAACTGATAAAATGACATAATTTTTGCTAGGACATACAATGCTGCTGGCTTTTGTTGATGGTCATGCCCTTTCGAGGTGTTTGGCGAAGGGTCGATTGTGGCATACACCCCTGAGAGTAGCTAATTGTACTTAACTCAACGGTGCCGGGATCACAGATTAAACTTCCGCGTAATGCACTTACTGAGTAAGAAGGGCTATATAGAGAAATATAAGCTGGACTCAAGAGACATCCTTAGATTTGATATACAGCCCCAGGGTAGGTGGAGATACAGTGAAAATTGGCCATCCGAAATGGTACCAGAGTTGATTACGTACTTAGCTCAATTGCGACAAGATTCCGGGGAAAGTGGCCGCTAAATGCTCTCTCCCTTTTGCATCAAAGAGCACGAGGAAGAGGAGAACAACCAACATAGACAAGAACGCCTGAGATATGCCACGACTTGCTTGTAGTTCCTGCCGGTAAGCTTCAAATACCGGCATACTACATGGACCAACGAGCGCTTACCACTCAGCCCACAGGACAAGCAAGGTTCGGTGTAGGGTCAAGGAAAATGACACCAGCTGTGTTAGATGCCTGAGTCGGAACACCCCTTGCTCTTATATGCAACATATACGAAGTCTGCGGCCACAGCCACAGAACTCTCTGCCCGAGGCTCTCCCGGCCGCCAACCCCCAAGTACAGACAGATCCGTCGAAGGTCCCTGCTGCATATCAGCTCTTACAGGAGAACCATTATCTTGATTTCGGAAGAGGTCACCCGGAGGATATTTTACGAGAAAATGAGTTTGCCTTCTCGTTGGTTCTACTTTATTTCAGCAATTTCAATGACATCCACTTCATGTTCGATGAAGAAGCGTTTCTCAGAGATTTCCGAATGGGGGATGTTCCGCCGATCATTTTATACTCCATGATGGCACTTAGTATCCGGTACTCGTGCTCTACTCTTCCCCCCCAGAACACTCATTGCCTGATCTCAAGATATATGGGTGAAGGCGCATGGCTAATAATTCTTCTAGCTTTTCCCTTGCTCCCTTTGGAGAAGAATTAACCCCTCGCCATCGCGGAGAACCCCTGTGGAGGCATGCGAGAAATCTCCTCAAGGATTCTTTTGACTGGCCATCGACTACTGCTATCCAAGTCTACGTTTTACTTAGCACGTATAAACTGTCATTTGGTGGCTCAAGACAAGCATACCTTTACTTGGGTACGTGTTTACCGAGTGAAGGTAGTTAAGTGTTTTCCTCTAACTGATCATTCAAAGGGTATGCATCAAATATGCTGAGGGCATTGCGATTCATGGAATCAAATTTCAACGAAGCTTCCGTGCAGATGGAGTCAAAGAAACGGCTGGCCTACACGGTCGCGTTGATGGATCGGCTTATGTTTCCCCTAAAGCTTCCCTCGCAGTTCGAGATTCGTGATGAGCTCCCCGAAATGCGAAGTGAAGAAAGTTTTTGGATTCTCAAAAAAGGCGGCGATATGGATGAAACGCTCACAAATAGGCCAAGCCCTATTAGCGTTGAACAGGAAATATTCAAGCTCTCCAGCATGCTTGTTGCCGTTTGCGACATATACCTGGGGAGAAATTTGATTTCCACCCTCGATGAAGCTCAAGAGAATTTTGAGAGATACTCCAATTCAAGGCACCCGCTGTTGTTGTATACTACCGCTAATCTGGAGCTTCAAGATAGTCACGACAACCTCCGCAAGTTCGCTTATATGCATCTCCTATACCATCATGTTGGGCAAATTCTCGGTTTTCGTGCATTGAGATCCGTGAAATATGACGCGCTCCCGTCCTCGGGAGATGACCAAAGATATCCGTTGCAAGCCTTGACGGAGCAGTGTTATGGACACGCCTCAGTGATTGTCCGCATTATAACACATTGTTCCGAACGCGGGTTCGACATACATAACTTTTCCTTTGGGCAGATATTAACAGTCTCGACCGTCATCCTAAGCCATGCATTGTTCTGGGCTGAATCTAGAGAAGCTGTAGAGCAATTACAGGACGATTTGAAGATCCTCCTAGAGTGCGTGGAGCGTCTAAAAAATCACACAAGAATGTTTCTTTGGGTGGTATGTCGTCATGAGCCCTGACAATGCATTGAACTGGTCTTAATATTGGCGACAGCTTCAACATCTAGCAAATTTCACAAAAGTCAGGAATCAGAACAGGAATACGTGGATTCGCATTGTGGACCAAAACACCCGCATTCTAAGTCAAATGCTCTTTCTCGGGAGTCAGTGGGAGACAATGGAGCCGACTACTGGAGGTGAGCAAGGTCGAGCCCTCGTTTATCCTGTCTCACTAGTATTTGCCATTAACAATAGTTTAGCTCGCCGCCCTGGACTCGGATCTCTTCCTATCACTAGTGAACACCCCATTATTGATCACGAAGCCGCCCAAGCGGACGAGACGACCTCGCAAATGCAATTCAGTCCCGGGAGCGGTATTGAATGGATGTTCATTAGCTAGTTAGGGGATTGTCTATTCTTTGACTAGCTCGTCCCCATAGTTTCTATAAAACAAATCTGATCTCAAAGTCTACTCTGTACCTTATTTTCACTATTACAGCCCTGTCCAAGTGAACTCTTTGTCAACACGAAACGAAACACTCTGAGCTATATCAACACTAGATAAACCCACCAGCACAGAGTAATCTCCCTCTCTTGCTTGCCAGCGCTTGTTCTGTGCATCGTAAATGCTGACACTGTACTTATCCAACTCCACAAATACTTCCTGAGTCTGCCCAACAGCGAGTTCAACCTTGGAGAAGCCCTGAAGCTCTTTGGCGGGTCGCTTCTGGAAAGATCCATCGGCGGGCTGGGCCATTTCGGGAGATGCAATATAGAACTGTACCACGACCTTCCCATCATAGGGCCCAATATTTTGAACTTGGGCCTTGATCTTGATGGTGCTCTCGGCATCAGTAATGGATTGCTGGCCATCGATCTCGGCCTTCGTAATGACGTACTTTGAGTACGAGAGGCCGTAGCCAAAGGGAAAGAGTGGATCAGGGCTCGCTTTGCGATCGTACCAACGATAGCCAACATCGAGCCCTTCCTCGTATTTAAGAAGACCATCTTCTCCTACAGGGAAATTCTTGAATGAAGAGTTATCTTCCAGCTTTCTGGGCCAAGAAAGGGGCAGTCGCCCACTAGGATTGACAGCGCCAGTAAGCACGGACGCGACTGAGTGACCCGTCTCTTGTCCGGGGAACCAAGCCTGCACAACAGCAGGTGTGGAATTGATGAACTGAGTTAGACTAACGGGCGCGCCACAGAAGCTCACAATGGTAGTTTTACTGTTTGCAGAGTTAACGGCGTCGATAAGCTTGTATTGGTCGGGAGTGAGGTCCATGGTATCACGATCAAAGCCTTCTGACTCAATCTCATTTGTATTACCAACGCAAACGACGGCATAGTCACAAGCGCTGGCTACCCTCTTTGCCTCGTCAAGGCACTCGTCGATGTTGATTTGCTCGTGAAATCGGATAGCGCTTCCCTGGAACATCTTGCCAAAGAGAGGTGCGGCGTTGAGAATCTTGGGTTCACAAGCCCAAGATTCAAGCCTGATCTTGTAACGGCGTCCCGCTTCTTGCCTGAAGGTAAATCGTTTCTCAAGTTGCTTTTTGAAGAAGTAGAATGATTCGGGCCTTAACTTTGTTTCTTGAGCACGCTCAAAGACAAGAACGTCGTCAATGTAGCACTTGGCGGCACCAGTGCTGATGATTCCAAACATCGCATCGCCTGATGAAGGGGCAACAAGGTCGAATGTGATACGAGTGCAATATTCCACTTGATCCAGATATTCGGGCCACTTTTCCTTGATCATGTACTCGGCTTGAGGACGAGTCTCTTCGTGAACCTTGTTCTCTCCAATCTTCAAGCCATTGAACCACTCCAACTTGACTGGCTCAGCCCTCTTCTCAGCACTTCCAGGCGCAAATACTATGGATGGATCTGCATGAGGAAGGGCACCAAACACAGGGACACCGAGGGCGACAGAGGTGGGGTGACCTCGTTTCTCAAAACCCTCTACAGGCGTAATGGCGTGCAAAGCATCAACTCGTGCGCTACCACCGCCTCCCAGCACGACCGATGTCGCATGGTGTCCGATAAGGGCAACAGAAGCGCCCTTGGGTATCGGAAGCACGTCGTTGTCATTTTTCAGCAACACAATGCCTTCAGCTGCGGAGGTTTCGATGAGTGCATCTCGCTCAGCGTCCTGAACCTCTCTCTCAGGGGGCTCAGTAGGGTCCTCAAAACGACCGAGCCTCTTGGCAAGTTCTAGGATGCGGCGGACACTGTTGTCGATTGTCTCTTTTAAAATTTGACCGTCCCCGACGAGCTTGAGAACCTCGTCCTTCTTCCTCCATTTGGGTAACCCAGGCATCTCGATGTCTACACCCGCATTGATTCCAGGAGCAACAGAGTAAGTGCCCATCCAGTCGGATACAACAACGCCATTGAAGCCCCATTCTTCCCTGAGAACGTTTGTGACTAGGTCTCGGCTGTCGGCAACGTATTCGCCATTGATTCGGTTATAACTACCTGTTGTCAGACCATAGAGTTGTTTCGGACCACTACCATCTCGGGACATACCTCGTCATGAAGCACCAAGGATCAGACAGTTTAGCAACAAGTTGGAAGGGCTTCAGGTAGATCTCTCTCAGCGTTCGCTCATCAACTTCGACGCTGAGTGTGGTTCGCTGGTTTTCAGCATCATTGGCGACAAAGTGCTTCGGCGTCGCCGCAACGGTGCCCTCGGCCTGACAGCCGCGAACGTATGCTGCAGCTAGAACACCTAGAAGAAAGGGATCCTCACTGTACGTCTCGTAGTTTCGACCTCCCAGAGGAGAACGAATGACGTTCAGGGTCGGTCCGAGCAGCACGCTGGCGGATTTGGTAAGTGCTTCCTTTGCTACTGCTGCACCGACTTTTTCAAGGAGGGAAGAGTCAAAGGTAGATCCCAGTGATGTTCCGCAGGGAAAGCATGCGGCCTTGATGCCAGACACGTAGCTCTCGCCACGGGCGCCGTTTGGTCCATCTGTAAACTTGGTACGATATCAGCACGGAACGTGGCCAGGGAATGTAGTGATATTGAATTACCTTGATTTGAGGGACTAATACACCATCCCTGTCGACAGAGAATGTGCGCCACCAATCTACTCCAGCCAGCAGAGAGATCTTCTCCTCAAGCGTAAGCTTGGAGACAAGTGATGGAATATCTACTACCGTGGAGCTCATATTTACTTCCGAAGCAGATATGGAAGCGTCTGTGATTCCATCATGGGTTGGTGGTCAACGGATGGGCCTAGACCACTTATGTACCTTTCGTTGTTTATTGCGTGCTGCCTGAGTTGGTTATGGCACCCCTGTTTCCTTGATTTTGGATGAGCTTCCCCGCTGAATTAAGAACCGTGCCTCCTCCCGGTTCATATTAATCGGGAATGTTCGGTCTTATTTGCATTCTATTGGCTGACCGCCGATGCTTTTTCGGCCCCATATCGGCAGAGTCGTGTTATGATTGGTCTACTTAGTCCTAAAACTACTCGCTCCGAATCCCCTAGACTTTCTTCCAGCAACAAACCCCAGAAATCAGCGCATGACCACGTGGAGAAGGTGACATCTCGTGGGGTACCAGGTCTGGGGAGGACTGGGGAGCTTTTTCCGGGTAACCTTTAACCATAAGACTCAATACCTTCAGTCTATAAAAGCCGGCATGGTATCCTACGATGATTATCTCAGACAGAATCCGAACATCAAGCCCTACCGCCTTTAACAAGCTATATCTTCTCTCACTCCAATGGCGGCTCCTGCAACTCTTGAAAGAGTATCGTCGGTTGGGAAGGAGGCAACTGTAGCCTCCCACACCGAGAAATTGGGTACTGGCCCTGGTCAGACAGTTGAAGAACTTGACAACTTCATTCAACAGGAAGCAGCAAAATGCCCAGCCTTCTACAAATGCCCAAATTTACTTAAACTCTACCTCCTTATGGCTTCAGGATGTCTACTTCCTGCTGTCACCCTCGGATTCGACAGCTCCATGATGAACGGTCTGCAGGCTGTTCCTGCTTGGGATACATGTATGATCCCATTGCTCTCCAATGTCGACTTGTTAAGGCTAACCCAAACTTCTAGATTTCAATAGTCCTCGGGGCAGCATTCTTGGTATCACAACTGCCATCCTCGGTCTCGGTGCCATTACTACCACGCCACTCCTTAGTCCGATTGGGGATCGCTTTGGTCGTCGATGGGCGATCTTTTTGGGAACTATTATCATGATCATTGGGGGTGTGCTTCAAGGAGCATCAGTTCACAGTAAGGCTGGAAAAGAATCCCACTGGTCTTTTACACTCAACTGACGACTCTTTTCTTCTCCAGTCGGCATGTTTATCGCCTCCCGATTCATCATAGGCCTCGGCCTCGTATTTGCCAACACATTTGCGCCGGTCCTCATCGGCGAATTGGCCCATCCTAAGCATCGACACGTCGCTACATCTTTATACCAAACGTCGTACTACCTTGGAGCTATCCTCGCCGCATGGACAACGTTTGGAACATTCAGAATTGAAAGTAATTGGTCGTGGCGCATCCCCTCATACCTTCAGGCCGCCCCTGCGCTGGTGCAGGCCTGTTGTATCTGGTTCGTCCCAGAATCCCCTCGATTCCTGATTGCGAAGTCTCGCCCCGAGGAGGCCAGAGCTATATTGGTCAAATATCACGCTGAGGGAGATGAAGATTCCGAGTTTGTGAACGCTGAGTTCCGGCAAATGCGTGCTGTCATCGAGGCAGAGGTCGCCAACAAAACCACCTGGAAGACAATGATCGCAACCCCCGGCAACCGTCGCCGTGTCATGGTCCTCGTTATGTTGGGTATCTTCTCCCAGTGGTCAGGGAATGGCTTGGTCTCATACTATATCGCCCGAATCTTGGAGACGGTCGGTATCACCGATGCAAGTGACAAGAACATCATCAATGGATGTCTCAACATCTGGAACTGGATTACGGCTGTCGCGTCTGCAATTATTTCTGGCCGTCTCAAGAGACGCACCCACTTCATTGTGTCGACAGTTGGTATGTTTGTGGTGTTCAGCATCCAAACACTCTGTGCGGGTCTATTCAACGAGCGTGGAAACAAGACCGCTGGCCATGTTGTTATTGCTATGCTGTTCCTATTCTACCCCTTCTTCAACTTTGCATTCAATGCCCTGCTATATTCTTACCCCGTCGAGATCCTGCCCTATCCTATCCGGGCCAAAGGATTCTCGGTTCTTATGATCTTTAACAAGGGAGGCGTTTTTCTGAATGTGTTTGTCAACCCAATTGGTTTGCAGAACTTGGGTTGGAAGTACTACGGCGTTTACGTCGGATGGCTCCTTGTGGAAATCTTTTGCGTGTGGAAGTTTTTCCCCGAGACGTCCGGACATAGTCTGGAGGCAATCGCCACCGCTATTGATGGAAATACTGCGGTAGATAATCAAAGGGCAATTGACCGGAGGATCCCCGAGGAGATGAAGGATCGTAAGGAGTAGTCGCTCATTATCATGCCATCCCGAGGCGTTGGGCCTAATTATTGTCACGCCTACGGATGCATATGATATAAAAATTGATTATTAGGACTTATTTTAATCTCACAAGCGATTGTACTTTTGGATTTATTGCCAGGTTAAAACTTTTTCTCCTTCTTTAGTACTGATCAGATAATTTCTAGTAATTAGTATTATTCCTTACACCATAAGAATCTAATTCTAGATTTAGCATACCAACAACATATACAACTATAGCCTTTCTTGATCTATAGTAAGCTATTCAATTAAAGGCAGGCTAAACGGGCACTTTAGCTGTAGTATGATTATTATAGCTATTTATATCAATGAGAATTGCTGGTGCTTCTATCGCCATATATATACCAACCAAGATTAATGTATCTTGTGTTTTTCATTATCGGCGTCAGGGTCAGTGCTTTGGCCAAGAGGCTACAGGTACTCACTGGGTTGATTAGTACCCGAAAAGCCTCGAGCTAGGATAAAGTCTTTGGATTGACGTACAGAAAGCCAGGTGAAGAAAGGGTGGTTTAAAGCCTCATTGGACGAGCAGCTCGTCCTAACGGCAAGTGAGTTATCGGCATGAAGGTTTATAGAAGTTTCTTTCGTATGATCGTATGACTCTGGCCTTGGGCTAGCGAAGCCTTTTCTTTTTTTTACCTTTCGTATTCATTTTGTTGAGTTGTCGGGTTCTGACATCTTCTATTGCTGTTTAACTTTATACCTACGCAAATTCTCACCCGTATTTCTCATTATCTCATTGGCTTAGATCCCTGTTTTGCAGTACAAGTGACAAGGTTGTGTAAGCGGTAGACACAATCAATCATTGGATGGCTGAGTGCCACAATGGATGGCCTCCTGCAGCAATTAGTGATTGAGCTGTCACATTTCCTTTGCTGCCTAATTCTACCCAACACCTCCCCCCTTCTATATAAGGGAACACTTTGAATTATTTTAAACACCAGCGCTATCTGTGCTCTCCGCTTCTTGCTATCGATCCAGAATGGGTAACGCCTTTACTCGCGAGACTCCCGAGCCTCAACCTCAGCCACAGCCTGATCGGCTCCTTGAGGCACATAGAGAGTTATATACTCCCCCAACTCCATTTAGGCTCCATGATCAGGATCCCCACTTACAGTTCGAGAACGAGCAACAAGGTCTTCACGCCCAGACTAGAACACTGAGGCAACCATCACGGAAACCATGCCGGTTCTTTGCTAAAGGTTATTGCAAATGGGGAGAGGCATGCACCTTCTTACATGACAATACGAAAGGAAATGAAGAAGTAACGGCTTCAAGGGTAGTTCATTCAGTTTGTCAGCTATCTTGCCTAACGCTGATAGAGTTACTTTAGGATGACGAGACCATAGACGATTCAACTCGAGAATTTGGAGGAGCCTGGGTTGAGTTTGGGCATGGAGCAACCACTGCCCGAGTCTCCCTGCCTTCTGACTTTTCCGCCATCCGCATCAGTAACCTTCCGAGGGATTGCTCAGCCAAATCCGTCTCAAGTTTGCTCTCGGATGTAGGCTTGATCATATCGCAACACGACGTGCGTCTCACGAAACACACCAACTCTACAAAATGCACTGCCGTGGTTAAAGTCGAAGATCCATCCTTCTCAAACGAGGCTTGCAGAAAGCTACGCACCTGCATCACACTGAGAGACCTCGAGGTAGCTGCTGTACCCGTTCCGCTGCCAAGGGGGTCTAAATTTCGCCAAGTTGATTGCAGACAGGTGCAATGTTCGTGGCATCGGCCAACCCGAGCAGTGCAGCTCTTCTTTGATAATAAGCATACCGCTTCGAGGCTTCAACAGAAGTTTCGTACTGGAAAAGTGAAAGTGAACAGATCGCAAGTCATGGCTTATCCACCGACCCCTCAGAAAAACCAAGCAAGTGAAACAAGCTGGTTGGTCAAGTTAACGCGTTTACCGGAGAGTGTCAAGGAGGAAGACATCATCCAGGCCATTCCTAAGCTAGACAGGCCTCGCCGAGTTGAAATGGGGGAAATGAGTTATGTCGCAGACATGGAGATTGATTCGACCTTGATCCAGTCCATGCTTTATGAATTTGGGCCACTGGAGAAATGGGAGGTTTCTGACACAACAAAAGGGGTGCGAGTCAAAGCCCATGCGACTTTCCTGGAAGAATCTCAAGCCCAACTTGCCGCATCAAATCTTAACGGAAAGCCGTTGCCATTCTGCGACTCGGGCAAACTGTTTGTCGAGGCCGTCACCGCGGTGAGGTTCAAGGTGTCGACACGTGTATACGATGTCATTCAGCAGCGAATCAATGCCCATAAGAGTTCTTGGGATCGTCAGTATATCAATTTTTTTGCCTTTCCTTCACGTGGATTCTATCGTGTCCTTAAGCTGGAAGGTAGGGACCGCGAGTCAGTTGCGAAGGCAAAACAGGACCTCGATCTCATTCTTACCGGAGAGGTGATGAAGCTAGATGGAAAGGCTATCTTATACCCAGGATCCAAGATCAGTCGAGAATCTTACCAAAGACTCAAGGTCATTGAGAAGGAGTTGGGCGTCGTTATCATTCGTGACGTGCAGACTTCACAATTTCGTGTCTTTGGTGCTGAAGCACGTCAGACCTTGGCAACAAAAGCTTTGGATCGTCTCATCAAAGAGATGATTTCCGCTCATCGCGTTATTCCACTCAGCCAGGAGCACGAATTTCGATGGGCCGTGGACGGAGGGTTCAAAGCACTTGAGTCACGTATTGGAAGCGACAAGGCCTCGTTCGACAGGAAATCGAGGTGCATTATAATTCAGGGATCTGAGAGTGACTTTGCCCGTGCCAAATCTATCGTAGCATCGAAGCAGAAAAAGTTCTCAATGAAACCTCGAGAGGGAGAGAAGGATTGCCCGATTTGTTTATGTGAAGCCGATGAACCGATCCACACTTCCTGCAACCATACCTACTGTGGTCTTTGCTTCATCGACATGTGTGAAGCACAAGCATCAGCTCCATCGCTGTTTTGCATCACGTGCACTGGAAACTCAGGCCAGTGCGGCCATATCTTTGAGCTTGCGGAAATCCGCAACTTTCTTCTATCGGAGACATTCGAGGACGTCCTTGAAGCATCTTTTCGGTCTTTTGTTCAACGTCGTCCAGACCAACTCCGATATTGCCCTACTCCTGATTGCTCTCAGGTCTACCGTGTTGCCCCCGAGACGAAGAAACAGCCGACAACTTTTACCTGCGACAAGTGCCTGGCCTCCATTTGCGCGGCCTGCCACACCTCTCATCCTGGAGTCACCTGTGCACAACATCAAGGAGATTCCTCTGGCGACATCCAGGCCTTAATTAAGGTAAAGAAGGAGTTAGGGATTCAAGATTGCCCGAGATGCGAAATCCCCATAGAGAAGACTGACGGCTGCAATCATATGACTTGCAAAGTATGTAGTTGTCATATTTGCTGGGTATGTCTAGCTACGTTCGATGAAGCTTCAGTCTGCTATGCGCACATGAGGAGGCTACACGGAGGTATCAGCACTTGATAAACAAGAAATCTATTAGGGAACTCCTCGGAAAGTACGAAACTGACACCTCAAGAATAAGTACAAGGTTGCATGGGTATTAAAAAAGAAAAGAGAGAGGAGAAAATGCCCAAATTTCTTCTTCCTATTACTTACGAAAGTAACATGGACGGTTCATTCTTTTTTATCTTACTTAGGTGTATGTCATCCTTTCTTGACCTTCTGTGCTTTTGTGTGACGTCTCGAGCATGTAGGCTTCTATTCCCATACTGAAGATACCAAATCCTCTTAACAACTAACATGTGATGTTTTCTCTCCCAAAGCCAGCGATCAGCGGATTGTTTATGCCCCTCAATTGTTTACAGAGTCTTGCCCTGGGCAATCTTGGCCTCGCCGTACTTTCGAAGTCGGATGGCCTGGATAGCGATGAAACCGCTCGTGTCCAGAGGAGAAAAGGTATCGAGCGAATCCATCGAGGCATCTTCCTCGCTGTAAAGGTTGCTGGTCTCGCTGCTGCGGCCAACCGTGTAGGCGTTACCCTCTGTCACCCTCAAGTTAGTGCTATTCTTGGAAATGTCTGGTCTTAAGGGGAAGGTTTCTGCCACAGGACTTACTGTATGCCATCACCTTGACAGTACCGTTGACGCCCTCCTGGGCAAAAATGACCGAGTTCTCGGCGAATTCACGCTCTGGAGAGCTATCCAGTAATTAGTATTTTGACTCCCTGGGATTGATGACCTGGGTGAACACTCACAAGTACATTCCATTGTACAACTGTCGGCTCCAGGCGGTAGTGACAAATGTATCACGAAGCTCGCGAACCTTCGAATCCAAGGTGAGGCCCTCAAGGTCAACTGGAACCTGCGAGTTAGATTCGTCACACATCCAAGAAAAGGGAATTGTTCTTACTGTGAGCGAGTCGTGCTAAAGTTATGCCTTGAAAAAAAGAGATAAGTGTCAGCACATATGAAAGTTCAGGGAGTATAGATCTGGGGGGAAGTGTAGTCCAATATATATCCTGGTCCGTTTGAATCACGCCCACTAGTATGTCTTTAGGTATGGTGTTCCTACTGAAATGATATGAGGTTAGTATGCCAAGAGAAAAACCTCTTGGTACATAAAAAACGTTCAGCTATCACTACTATCCTCTCTCGTGTGCCTTGCCTGCTCCTATGGCAAGCAATCGTTGCGAGGCAGACTAATGCGCCTATTGCAATGACAAGCAATAGCCGAGTAGCCGACCAGCTGTCTGCCGGCAAGACGAGTGATTGTTATGAAGCTGATCTGGCTGTGTGCCGTCACGACGAGGAATTGCTGCGTAGCTGTAGCTGACATACGCGTCTACCACTAAGACAAGCGATTCCTGTGAAGGTGACCCAGCTGTCTCCCGTCAAGCAAAGCAATCGATGTGAAGCTGACCCGGCTATCTGCTACCGTCGTAAGAGTTGTTGTGAGGGGCATTTGACCTCCGCGTCTGCTGTTTGAGCAAGCGATTGAGGTGGCCATGATTGAACAGTCCTCTGTTGCGACGAGCGATTGCTGCAGCTCTGAACTGCACTCTTCGAGCGTGAAGTGATGTGAAGCTGACCCACCTAAAGACGTACTAGTGGGTGTGATTCGGACTAGGGTGGAGATCCGATTTTTGCTCGGCGGACTCGGCCGAGTGGAGCTTGGCACACCAAATGGCGAACTCCACCATCAATCTCGAGGTCAAGAAGCACAACTGCATCCCGAGATGCCCTCAAAACACCATGAAGAGCACAAAAAGGCAAAAAATACGTACCAATGAAGCGCCCTTCTACAATGTCGACGCGACCTACACCTCTTCGGTTGTGACCTTGACAGGGATACCCTTCTGAAAGTCGATGGAGAAGTGGTACGGCTTGTCAGGAGCATCGACCGGATCAACAGTCATCGTCCAGAGATTCTTGGGAGGTTCACGGTTGGGGTCTTCAAGAATGCCAGCTTCGTAGGAGCAGTGCACCTACATATTCCCAAAATTGTTAGCGACTGCGCGCATTGTCGTCCTAGGAAAGAGAAGAAATACCAGATTGGCATCCATAGACCAAGGGGCCTTGGGAGTGGACGAGACAGGGATGTTGTTGACCCTGGCGTACTCGAGCAGATCCGCCCGGCCCTGGAACTTGGCAATGAACTCAGGAATCCTCCAAGGAGCGATGATCTTGATGCCGGGTGCCAATGCTGCGAAGTATTAATTGGACTCGAGATGAGGATAAAGTTGGAGCCCAATAGTTAAATTGGTGAAGTGGAAACCGTACCATGCCAGGCAAGTTCACTGTCATCATATGTTAGCCACGTTTTTTTGGAACTGCAAGATCTGAGGTGAACCATACAATCGAACTTGGTCATTTCCTTTGCCTGTTTCCAATCATGTCAGAGGCAGAACCAAATTTTTAATTTTGGTGTTAAGAACTACTCACCAGTACATCCGTGGCTCAGGAAGTCGCAGTTGAACTCTTTGGCAACATTAACCAGCCTATTTCGAGCAAGGTCAGCAAATCGTCTCACTCTTCAATGAGGAGCCCCCTCCCAATCCAACGACTACCCCTTAAAACAATGTAAGGGAGTTCTCTTAATTCTGGACTTCTCCAAATCATTTGTCATCGAGGGGTAGCAGGGCTAGGGGATAGTACAGCCCAAACCCCTAGACGCGGCAGTTCGGGAGTTGTACTGCTGCCAATGGAAATTGGAAACTCACTCTCGTGCAATAATCGGGCGAGCCAGACTTGTGCCAAGGAGATATCGATCTTCCTACTAATAGTCAGTACAGAGAGATCCCAAGGGAATCAATGAGATTGAGAGACCCACGTAGATGGCGTTACATTGAATACTTCTGAACACGATATCCTCCACGAATTCTTTCTGTTTGTTGCGAATGATCATGCGCTCAGCGCCGACCGCAAGAGCTTTCTTCTCAACATCTTCCCAGTCCTCCTCTTGACCGCTGTGTTTGTCAGTGACATGACCTCATATATCTTGAGGAGCTAGCAGGGGATACCTACACATCAATGTTGCAAGCGACAACGGTGTACCCGTCGTTCACGAGCCACTTCAGAATGGTACTCGTGTCAAGGCCTGATTCATTTGTTGTCAGCTACCCGCATACATAAGAACAATTGAGTCATGCTGGGCTGAATTACCTCCAGAGTAGGCGCTGAAGTGGAATTGTTAGCAGGAGAGCGTGACTGGGGTGTTTGGTGTAATGGTGGGGTAAGACTCACAGACAAACGCGGCCCTTCGACATTTTGAAGGTAAAGGGGTAAGAAGTTAGACGACAGAAAAGAACCCTCTGTGAAGTAAATTTACAATGGAATACAATGGATCAAGTCCGCTGGCTTGGGCGTGTTCAATTGAGGATGTCAATTCGGAAGGAGGGGTCAAAGGTTGTTGATAAGAGAGTGGGAAAAATTGTTGATAAGACCGGAAAAATAATTGGTCCAATCGGGTCTCAGGGGCGAGGGTATGACTGATATTGACAGGAACAAATCGCCTGAAAATATACTAATTTTGGAAGCGTTCAGCGTCATTCCCCCATAATAGAGGCAATATTTCGCAACGTATAGCAATATGGCGAGCGACTGAGTCACTGTATGATGTATTTACTCGTGACATCGAAGCTTTTTTACGCCCATGGTTCCCATCTATATGCCCACAAATGATAAGAAAGCTGGATCGATCAACGCCCACAAAAATCACCCTCAAAATAATGGGCCCACCCCCTTGCCTTACGTCAGGGTATTTTTCAGTTACCCTGGAACGTCGACTGTCGAGTCCTCAGGAATCAGCCTCAGTCCAAAATATTCCAATCTGCCGTGATCTCAAGCTCGTCTAAAAACCACCAATGATTAGCGGTTGGAGATTCAGGTAAATGAGCGTCAAAAATCCAGACCACAGAGACTTATTGTGCAAGTTTCGTAGTAATGCTCATCATAATGTTCCAATATCTAGTGCTTCACACAAGGTATCAACAGACGATACTATCGAATTATTTTCTTTATCATATATGTATGATTGTTAGAAAGCACAGTCTTTAACTACAATTGTCATACCCTATTCAAAAAAGCCTCGATAAATAAAGACCCAATTACAGTTCCTGTTTATTCTGACCCCCATTTGCCAGGCTACTCTACTACAATGGAAGTATGACCCAGCTCTTAATAAAAAGTTAATAAGCTAATAAACCCGGAAGATCTTTTTACGTAATTTCTACTTAAGACTACTAATTTTGCTCATTGTGGGTGATGGGCGCCAACGGAAATGATGGTGATGTACTTGCAATTGATGGTGTTTAGAACAACCACCCTTATGTTGAAAAATTTAAAACCTCCCCTTTCGGGCTTGAGTGCTAAAAATATACATGTACCAAAGGTGCCTAATTCCATGCCATGCCCAAAACCCTGCGCCTTACTTGTGCTCGCGCTCATTGCGCAGCACTTGATGGTTGTCCCCGGCTTCGATGCGGCTGTGAGACATTGCCGTTTCCGGGAGCGCCTTGGCCCTCTCATGTGCTGACTTTGGATTGGTCATTAGGTACAAGAAGCCTGCGCCCAGTCCCAGTCCTGCTGCAATCATGGCCATCCCGCTGTTGTCCCTCTTGCTGCAAGTTCATTAGTTAGTTGCCCTGTTCAGAGGGGATGGGGCTAACAAGAAACTAACCCTCCTCCTGAGGAACCTCCCGAGTCAACAGAAGCTGGCGAAGGTCGGCCGAATGCTGACGGTTGACCGGCCGTCGCATATGAGCGGGTCGCCACCGGGCAAGGGGCCCTGGCATGCCGGACACATTGGGCTAGGCCAGGGCGAAGTCGAAGTAGAGATGCCATCGTGATGTAAGTGTGTTACAGAGGTAAGGGATAATTTAGGAATTGGTGATGTAGATTCTCAACTTAGCATCAATTGGAAATGCTTAATTGAGTCAATCAGTGTGAAAGTGTTTGAAGGGGCATATATATATGCTAGGACCAATCTCTGTTGAGAGTCGATGACGCATCACGTAGACTCATGACGCTGGTCTTGGGTCTAGCCTCAGCAATGATGCACTAAATATGTAAGTCGACCGTCAGAAGCATCTCTCCTCTCTAACCCTTAGCGCACGATTCGGATGCGGACAGTCGATGAAAACAATCGAGACTACCGTTTCCGCACCAGCCCTCTGAGAGCCAATTAATGGGTAACGTCACAGACGACTTGCCACGCCGCAGCATTCGGCTCCAGGCGCGCAACGACCATGCCATCAAGAGCAATCGGTCGATAGGTGGTCCTCAACAAACCCAGGGACAGCAGATCAAAGAAGAAGAAGATGCTCCAGTTGAGCGACAGACGTCGCTCATCGTCAAGAGTCGACAGCCGAAGTTTGCGAAACCTCGGACCCCAAGCCGGTTGATCACCTACATGAAAACCACTTCAGCCTGCCGCAGTCCTCCGATCCACGCCCCAAGATTTGGCCTCATCCAAGAACAGTTGGGTCATAATCTTTATGAGCTTCTTGTCGCTGCCATGCTCTGGAACCGAACAAGAGGCATGCAGGCTAAGCCTATCTTCCTAGCTCTAATTCAGCAGTACCCAACCCCGGATCACCTTGCTCAAGCCAATCTCTCTGAGCTCGCAGATCTTATCCGGCCGATTGGTTTGTACAACTCGAGAGCGAAGCGATTTCTATTGTTTGCACAGGCATGGCTCTCGAGTCCCCCTAGCAAGGAAAGACGATACCGTAGGATGCATTATCCTAGTGCTGGGGATGGAAAAGACGTCGGCCCGACTGAAATTCTTGATGAAAATGATACTCGAGAGGGCTGGGAGGTTGCACATCTACCAGGCGTTGGTCCATACGCGCTTGACAGTTTTCGCATATTCCATCGTGATATGCTGAGGGGACTGGCTAAGGACTGGGAGGGAACCGGTGCCCCGCCAGGGCTCGAACCTGAGTGGAAGCGCGTCGTCCCATCTGACAAGGAGCTCAAGGCTTACATCCGCTGGAAATGGTTGAAGGAGGGCTATATCTGGGATCCGTCCTCGGGGCGCAAGGTCGCTGCATCGGCGAAGAGGATGAGACAAGAAGCTGAGCGGACAAAGAGCCTCTCACCAGAATCAATTTAATTATCCCAATATCTGATTCTATATACAAGTAGCGAATCATCATCTTGATATCACCAGGAAATGCATTCCCGATAGACTCAGCCATCGTGTCGTGATAGCTAATTCTTCCCTTAGCAGGAAGAACCCCTGCGTCTACAGGTAAGAGATAGTTAATCACCGAAATAGGTACTAATCAGTTAACTTATGGCAAGAGAGAGAAGCATTAACTTACCTATGCAATGGTAAGTTGGGATATGTACCCCTTTTATCATTCCGTCTCTTGATAAGGTTCTCCTTATTTAGATTGAAAAACTTACTAAATAATGAATTTGAAAACATACTTTAATTAGACGCTTCAGTGTTTTTTTAAACAAAATTAATAAAGAAGTGATTTTGTTTTAAAAAGAATAGAGAAAAACGATTTAGAGTAAAACAAATAAAAAAACGCATAATAGCACCTGCCTCTTTTGCTTATCCGTTCGATCTACAGTACTTTTACTGTGTAAGCTGCGGGGAAATATAAAAAACAATTATAACGCGCCTCCACCCTTTTCTTCTTCCATTATTACATATCACATACCAAGCGATTATTCAACAACATATATAGAGCTACCGTTACACGCAAGATCTCCTATTTTAGGCCCTTGGACATGGAGGAACGCAGGAAATTGTATGGAAAATATCCTTCGCTGAGAAAGCTTGAGGAGCTTGGTGACGCTTATGTTGAGGTTTGAAGGACTTCCTATGGTCTACAATTTTGAGACGCTCTAATAATATTCCCTTTAGTGGAATGATGGTCGTGAACCTGCTCTTCTGCGTTGGCTTTACGACCATGCTTCGTTTTCGCAGATGCGTAACAACCCCCGTGTCATCTGCGACGCCATGGACGAATACGCCGCGCAGCACAACTTCCTGATTAACATCGGTCCCGACAAGGCGGAAAAGGTCGCCGCTCTGATATCCGAACAGAAGCCAAAGATCTTTGTTGAGTTGGGTGGATATGTCGGTTACTCGGCCCTCTGGTTTGGAAATGCATTGAAGAATGCGCACAAGGGCAGTACCAGCGATGGAGATCAAGTCGTATACTGGAGTCTCGAGGCCGACCCGGTCTTTGCAGGAATTGCGATGAATCTAGTCGACTTGGCTGGACTGGGGGATGTTGTAAGGATTGTCACTGGAAAGGCTGCCGAGTCGCTCACGCGTCTCAAGGAAGAAGGCAAGTTTGAAAAGGTAGATATGCTGTTTCTGGATCACATCGAAGACCTGTATGTGACCGATCTCAAAGTCGCCGAGTCTCTGGGATTGCTCAAGAAGGGTAGTATCGTGGTGGCAGATAATGTCCTTCGGCCTGGTGCGCCCGACTACAAGAAATATGTTGAGCAGCATCCATCTATGGAGACACGGGCTATCAAGGGTCTAATTATTCCTGGAGAGTTTGAGGTAAGTACCTGTATACAAAATTTCACATCTCGTGTACTAATTTTCGGTAACAGGATGAGGTTGAGGTGACTGAGTACAAGGCATAGGGTGTATTACATGTAGACCAAATGGTCGTCATTAATGGATACAGGAATCTCCTCTCCGAAGACACGTAGTCTGCTGAATTTCTTGAAAGGAGAAACTGTTCCACTTCTATAAGTGTTCTGAACATGGCGCGGACACCATTCAAGAAGGGAGAATGGTGTTATAGCATTAGACCGAATAAGGTAGCGACGAGGCTACATTTGGTACATATAGAAGCGAGAAATTCTATTCGAATGTGAGACTTACGGCTTTCTTTTTGAAAGTGACGCCAGGAGCTGTAAAGATATCTTAGCAAAGGCCGCCGTGTCTTCAATACTGCGTGAATGTTATGATCTGCCGGCATGATTGATGGCTTAGATACTTGGACTAGATGTTTGGCATCAAGATCCCTAGACTTGGGGACAACTGATACGAGGAGGGCAAATACCATTGTGTATTCTTTTGATATATGTGAGGATAGTGGCGGGGGAGACCTTGAATATGAGGCCTCATGGAGAGGTAGGAGATTAGGCATGTGGCTTATCAGATCGAATGGCTCGTTAAGGGCCTGTTAACAGGCTAGAAAAGGATGGTAAATAAAGGTGAGCAGACTTGGAGCGTACCCTCGGATTGTCGTTCTCAAGAACCTAGTGCGTAGGCGATCGTGTTGGAAGCACGTATAGCAACTAGGAGTCTGTTCATTTCCGATTTGAGTCTCACCCGATAATCGTTGCTATGTAATTCAGCAAGTCGGATAAGGGCGAGTGGCATCAGCCCTGACCGTGGAGGTAGCCATTCAAGGAAAGATCCCGTAATGGAGAAGGTCAGAGGTGGAAACCCTGAGGATTCCCGTCATTGGTCATGATACCCGCATCGTACGAGCGTAGGTCCCCAAGCTCCAAACTGCCTGTGATTAAACATCTCATGTCTCGATTGTGTTGCTTAAAAGGGGACCTGGCACCTGGAAATCGTCAAGGGCTAGACACTTGATAAATCCAGAACGTAAATCATAAGTCGGTCTGCCACCATGTCAAATAAAATAGTTATCACAGAGCCTGTCCCTGCGATCGGGTGCGGCGGGTCGTTCAAAACGGCCGAATCAGTTTTCCCGCTACTCTCCCCAAAAATTGAAGGTTCGTGGTCGTGGTCATCAGAGTTCCGCTGGAAACAGCCTAGCGATAGTAACCCATCTGTAACTAAGCTTGAGTTCATGTCTGCAGTAATCCACTTCATCACCTCCTTCGAGGAGGCTAAAACTTATGTCGGCGACCTCCTCGCTGGTCGCGGACCTGGAGAGTGCCCGCCCAACCATGTCGGATCCCATGACTATAGCAAGCATGCGCGCTGTATCCTTTTCGGTCGTGGCTACACAGAAGAGCAGGTGAGGGAAATCCACAGCCTGCACGGAGGAAAGGGGGTCGACGGCCCTGTTGCTTGGATCGCAGGCGACCCGACCGTTGGGCCGCCCCCGAACCCCGGTCCCGGAGGATATGGGCCAGGATTTGCAGAGAAGGCGGCTGAGAGTGTGAAGGAGGCACTTTCAAAATGGATCGAGAATGGAGCACAGAGTGAAGAGATTATTTGGTACTGATAGGGGGCTTGTCTGTGGTATTTGGTTTGTGTATAAAATTACGAGACGACAATCCACTCTACACAATCTACCCCGGCTATTAAGAATGAATCCTTCGATTAGTTCCGCGGGCTTAAGTTCTTTACCAAAGTCGATCTTTGGTGTGGAATGTATGGTACAGGATGAGTATAGATGTAAGGGTCACGATGCCTGCAATCTGAGGGCTGCCTTGAGTGCTTAGGGTTTCGAAATGACAAATTCAAGTTTGATTCCCCACCGATCGAATGCCACGAATCTTGCACTTCGTTGAGATTAGGCATATTTCTTTTTCAGGGCTTTGTTTGTGGCCTGATTTACTGTCCTTATGCCCCTGTGATATTATATGTCCGCCCTTCTATTGACATGCCCTTCCGTTCCCAATAATTTGCGTTGACGTCGAGACTACTGCATGTTAACCGGTTATCTTTTCGGGTACACTTTCGGGCACTTTCTTCGCAACGCCTACCTCCGCCCCGGAGCCCCATCCACGATCAATCGACTCGACGGTTATCGATATAGTTTGAAGGAGACTTGATGATTCTGTTTGCGCCTCTGTATCCGCCTTGATAGTGATCTACAACTCCATGATGGAGAAATATTGCAGCTATTGAGTAGCCAAGACATCGTGGAAGCTCCTGATTTGCCACCTGAAATCAATCAAGGAATGCCAGTATGTGCATGCCATTCCACTTACCAGCTGTTTTTCCATGGCATTATGAGATACGGTATCGGCGAGCCTTCTGTAGGTTGCTACACCTAGCTTTGCAGTGCCATGCGCATAAAGAGCTCATCCGCGTTATGGAGCCAGAAGTGCACGTCAAGATTTCTAGGCACGGTGCTGGGGCTTATTCTTGGTTGATCATTTCTGTGTTTTCACTCGTTTGATTTCCAACTACTTATTTCTAGTACCAAGTCGCTGCGGATTGAACAGAACATATACGTTATCTTGACTGAGCGATGGCAAGACACCCCAGATAACCCTCTTCCTAATCCAGACTCATGTGGACCGCTTTGAGTTGTGTCATTTCGTACAACTCTTGCAAATCATGTTCGCGGCCCATGCCAGACTGCTTGTAACCACCAAAAGGGATACCCATGAAATGCTTGGCGCTGTTGTTTATCCAGCAATATCCGGCCTCCATCTTCTTCACAGCCTTTTGGGCCGTGGCAGTGTTTGTTGTGTAGACGGATCCCGTAAGGCCGTACTCAACTGAGTTGACTTCTTTCCACAACGTGACCTCATCGGTCCACTTGAGAACACTCATGACAGGCCCGAAAATCTCCTCCTGGGCGATACGCATGCTTTGTTTGACATCGGAGAAGATCGTAGGAGCCCAGAAGCAGCCATTTGCCAGCTCACCAGTCACTTCGGCAGCGTGCCCACCAGTAACCAGCGTGGCACCCTCCTTTTTTCCAATCTCTACATACTTCTTGACTCGCTCAATAGCTTTGTTGTCTACCAGAGCACCCATAGTTGTTTCGGTCTTGAGAGGGTTATCAGGTTTATGAGTCTTCTTGATTGCTTCGACCACCAGTTTCAGCACCTCGTCATGGATAGTCTCGTGGAGGAACACTCGTGAAGTAGAGGAGCATGACTGGCCACACCAGGCCCAGTTCATGCCTTTGACGATTCCGTCGACCAACTTAGGGATATCAGCATCCGGGTAGGCAACAAGTGCGTTCTTCCCACCCAGCTCGTGGGTTGTGAGCTTCAGTGTATCGGCGGCGCTCCTCGAGATAGCGCGTCCCACTGGAACACTGCCAACCAGAGTCACTTTCTTCACAATGGGGTGACTGGACAACATCTCGCCACTATCTCTACCCCCGGCAAGCACGTTTACGACTCCTGGTGGGAAGAGGCCGCCAATGAGATCCATCAGATGAAGTGCGGATATCGGCGCCTGCTCTGAAACTTTGATCACGACTGTGTTGCCCATGACCAAGGGTGTTGCCATTTTGATAGCCACTCCCAACAGGGGGTGGTTGTATGGAATAATACGAGCAACGACGCCAAGCGGCTCTCGGATTGTGTAGTGAAACATGTCATCAGTGAGCCGGTGCGTCTCGCCCGTCACGGCTGGCGCCAGACCAGCAAAGAGATCAAAGTTCATGGCTGAATATTCGACTTCAGCCCGCATGATGGAGATTGGGCTTCCGATATTCCATGCGTCCAGAGCGGCAAGCTCCTCGGCATGGTCACGTATAACTTGCGCAGCCTTGCGCAAAATGCTGCATCGTTCTAATGTTGAGGCGGCCGCCCAGCCCTCTCGCGCCTGCTCAGCTGCCTCAAGAGCTTTGATAGTATCGACCTTGCCCGCGAAAGCGACTTTGGCAATGGCCTTGTTGTTGATGGGGCTGATGATCTCTTGATAGTGGCCATCCTTGGGCTCGTGAAATGCACCGCCGTAGTAGAGCCCCAGATTCTTGGGGAGGTACTGCGGGGCACTAAACTCGTTGATTTTGGTCATGATCAGGTAGTCTTGATAATTCTCAATGGTGATGAAGCTTGTTGAAGTCAATTGTTGTGTTTGGGGAAGGCCTACTCCATATGATAAATAGCACAATGGCACCGACCTCGTGACCATGATTACAAAGAAGTATCAACCCCAACCGGTGGACTCGGAGTTTGCCCCTCTCTTCCACTCGATGCGGAGAACATCAGAGCTGTGGTCACTAGATTACACGCGAAATCGGTCCGGCTGACAACGATGCAGAGTCATGTAGTTGTGCCCAAGACAAGGGCTAGTCGTGCAGAGTGTCGGCTGACGAAGCCGACCAATCGGATGAAGAAAATTACGAAATCCGATTCGTCAGTTTCTCGGCTTTCGTTCTAGGAGAACTCCCGTGATATAATTGGTCAAGAGCCAGGACTCATAATTTAGACTCGAGGTAGAGGACTTTAGCACCGGGGTATTCCCCACGGGGATCCCAAAAAGCATTAGGTTAATGGTGAAGGAACACATAAGTAAGCCTTTCCAGACCAGACACGAATATTCCAAATCCTGGAGGCCCAAGAGCATAGCCCAGTTGCACCACCAGCAAGTCTGAGATCCTAAACTCCTACTAGTAAAAACATTCATCCCACAACGTGAAAGAAATGGATTCTTTGGCGTCAAGCTCATCTAAGATCAGCTGGCTCTGGGTTCTCACTCACATCGTAGCTCCTGGAATGGTTCTTTCTGGGCTTGTAAGTTGCTTTTGCTTGACTTGATACTCTTCAGGATCGGCACATGCTAACGCATCCCAGTACAGATATTTCACAGACCCTCTGAAACGGGTTCCCGGGCCTTTCATTGCCAGGTTCACAGGGGCATGGATGTTATATATTGATCTCTCCGGTCAGCGAAGTGCTACAGTTCACCGCCTACACAAGATATACGGACCAGCTGTACGCGTTGGCCCCAGCGAGGTCTGCTTTGCTTCACCCGCAGCGCTCAAGGAGATATATGGAGCCAACTCAAAATACCTCAAGGCGCCTGTTTACGATTCCTTGGGGTTCAGAAGCACATTCACGACACGCAATAGGGATGAATATCGCGGAATGAAGAAACGTATCGTCCCCAGTTTCAGTTCCACTTCCATCTCTGAGATTGAGCCAATCGTCCATCGGCAATTGGATCTATTGGTAAAGAGCTTTGATAAAAGGGTAGACCAACCTCTCAATGTTCTCCCGTGGTTTCGTATGCTAGCACTCGGTATAGTCGGTAAGAATTTGCTTCTTCATCTTGTTAGTGTAGTTGTCCTGTGATATTTTACTAATCGTTAATCGTTCATAGGGGAAGGATTTGCTGATGATAGTTTTGGTGGATTGGAAAATGAAAAGCTTCCAGAATTACTCAATCATATTGATGAGGTCTTCCCGGTTCTTTGGACCAAGTGGATGTTCCCGCTTACGACTGCAATCCTCAATTATGTCCCAATCAAGTCTATCCAATCATTCCTTCAAGCTGCGCCAAAATTCAAAAAGGTACACTCCGATCATCACCAACCATCCGACTAGGTTAATTGGCTAACACTATCAATCAGTACTGCAGTAATGCCTATGAAAAATATCTTGCGACCCACAACCCTTCGGAGCACCATGATCTTATTGCAAGGATGGTGAACGAGCAAAAGGAACTACAGAAGAAGGGAGAGATTCTACCGTTTCATGTGACTGATGACGGAATCGTTCAGGAGCTCACAAACTTGATGTTTGCGGGCACCGATACCACAGGTACTACACTCACATATCTCTTCTGGGAACTCGCTCGCCATCCTGAATGGATTTTGAGGCTTCGTGAAGAGATCAATGAGGCTCTTCAAGGGCGAGACACCTTCAGTTATCATGAGATTTCAGAACTTCCCATCCTGGAAGCAGTGATTCAGGAGATTCTTCGAGTACGACCAGCCGGCCCGGGTGGGCTACAACGATTGACTCCGGAAGAAGGGGCGGTCGTTGACGGCGTGACTCTTCCTGGTAGGGTATGTCAAACTTGGGCTTTCGATTCCTCTCGGTCAATGGGGACTGATCAATCAATCCCTAACGTTTTGTCCACGCAAGCTAACAGTCACTAGGTTATAATTTCATGCCAAGCTATGAGTTCTCAGAGAGAGCCTACGATCTTTGAAGATCCAGATCGCTTCAACCCGCAACGCTGGCTTGATGGGGAGAAGAACGGCAATGCTGATATCATGCGCGAACAGATTTTGGTCTTTGGCAAGGGGGCACGGGCTTGCCTTGGAAGGAGACTGGCTACAATGGAGCTCAAGTGTGCGGCTGCCATCGTCGCAAGAAGATATAATGTCAAGATTGGCAGTCCGACCACCGACAAAGATATGGAAATGACGGATCATTTTGTCCTCATCCCAAAGGGAGGCAAATGCTTGCTAGAGCTCTCCAGGGCATGAATATTGATTCTCTAGGTAGAAATGGGAGGCATTGTATCCTGCTTTTTTATGGACATTCGTTAAACTGACATTAGCGTCCAGCTCATAATCAGGTTTGCAACAAATAAAAAGACAAATTTTACACATATTACAAACGCACGGTATATATAGCTCATGCCTATCGCTCATATAGTCTTGCCTCACATGTTTATTTCAATGTAACATTCATCTACTTCAAGTTTGTATTTGAATCTAGCACCAAGTCGTTTTGATTTCCGTCACAAAGAAGATTTAAATAACACGAAATAGCAGAAGATAGATCTAAAGTTGTAACAGAACACAATAATACACCTGCATCCAACCAATAAATTACATGTATTATAAATAGGATACAGCTAGAAGGACTCGATGCTCGCAATTTAGGTCCAAATCAGTTAACTTACGGGAAGAGGGAATAAAGAGTAGTTAGACGTAATGGCTCAACGCTTCAACTATTATCAGAGGCGTATACAGAGCCAATAATGCCCCCTAAAGTTAATTTATGAGCTCACATGCATGAATTAAAGAGTTTATGGTGAACATTTTATATAGATTTCTGTTATTTGCTATGTCCTGTTATCTTCCTCTAATTCTGATTGATGAACCAACTCAGCTAAACATTCTTGTAGGCAATTCCCCCAGCCTTTGCATCAAACTCTATGCAATCCTGAAGGCCGCACGCGTTAAAGAGCTTTTTGACGCCCTCTTTAGCTTGGGCCTCGCTCACCTGAGCCTTCCCTGTTGCCTTGATTCCTCTAAAGGCATTTTCAACGCCTTCCAAAACTGGGAATAGCGCAAGACCAGGATGAATGATTAGTCGGAAGCCCAACTCTTGGGCCTCGTTCACGCTCAAATTCGGGGTCACTCCTCCAGAGACCATGTTCAGCAAAACCGGGACCTTAACAAAATCTTGGCACACCTGTCGGCACTGCTCGACTGAGGTAGGCCCTTCTAGAAATGCAACATCGGCGCCTGCCTCTACGGCCCAACGAAGACGCTGGATTGCTTGATCATAACCCAGGCTCTGGAGGGCGTCGGTCCGGGCAATGATGACAATATCACCACCCGTTGCAGCTCTCATCTCTTCCCTAGCCATGACTGCAGCTCTGATTCTGGATATATATGTATCCTGATCCACTAGCTCTTTGCCGCTCAAGTGGCCGCAGCGCTTCGTGATGACTTGGTCTTCCAGGTGAAGACCCGCGACGCCAGCAGTGATGTATGCTCGCACCGTCCTCGCCACCATGATAGGACCACCATATCCAGTATCAGCATCCGCAATCAACGGAGTTTTCCGATCAAGTGATGCAATCATGGCAGCATTTTCCAGCATGTCGTTGAATGTCGCTACTCCCAGATCAGGCATGCCAAGTCTTGACGCTGTCGTGCCTGCTCCGGTCTTGTGAAGCCAAAAAGATTAGCAAACTAGAATATACTAGTATTTAGAGAGCACTCGGGAGAAAATTCCCTAACCATGTAAAGGCAATCAAACCCTTCCCTGAGAGCAAGACGAGCTGTGAGTCCATCGTAGACGCCTGGACAATTGACAATCTTGCTCTTGTCAGCAATGAGTTCTCTCAAACGCTGAGCAGCCGTCTTTGGCCTCTTCATTTCAGTCATTGTATTGTGTGTTATTAGTTTCTCTTTTGCCTCTTGGTTCAATTCAAAGCTTGTTTGAATTTTGAATACTGGCTTCTTTTTCTCTCCAAACTTCGGGACGCTACGCCGTTGAAGCCGGGCCTGTAGGAGTCACTAGATGTTGATTGGTTAAGAGATAAAGCCCTCCGATTGGCTCGGCCCGGACGGTTAATGCCCTTTATCCAATCGGCTGTCATGAATTCCAAACGTCGCAGCCAAATTGCGTAAGAGATCGTCGTATGAAGTTGGCCGAATCGGCCCCGAGCCATATAGTCATCTCATCACGCCGACATTGATGATAATACTCGAGTTTGCGCATGATCTTGAGCTACTTGTTAAAGCATGTGATTCGTATTCGGCCCGAAACCGCTCTTAGATGGACAAGAGCGTTATTTCCGAAAAGAGCTACTTGCAATAGGAGAACTCAAAGACGAATCTCATGTCCGCTTCTGAAGAATAAATGTTTACTGATGTTCTAGAGCAACGCAGAGTCACAAATTGGTCTGAATCAGAATCATTTACCGCAAGATCTTCACGTTGAATGTTATCATGCCGGCCCTTCTAGCTAGGCAGAACGACGATGTGGCAGAATTGATACGATTTCTTCGAGAATCTCGCAAAGTTCACCTCCCCGCGGCCTTGGAATTGTGTAAGCCTGTCGGCCTCTTCGCTTTATACTATGCAAAAAATACACGCCTGACAAACAATTGTAGCGAAAACTCCAGGTCCAAACCTTTTACATCAGATTCGCGAGCTCTCGACGTCTCTTGATCAACATGGGCGACCGAGGGAAGCGGAAGCTTTCCGCGATCTCGTGAGGCACTGTCTCAACTCGACTGACTTTGGGGGGCTGGGTCTAGATATCGATCAACCATTGAGCCGAGACGAAACGGCACAGGTTGTCTTCCTCGCCTCGGCATACTTGGAGGCATTGAACTCGGTTGACCGGTCCAGAGAGCCTGCAACACCATTGACGCAGCGCCCTGCCGGCCGCAGGGGAATGACCTTAGCTGAGAAGATCTTTGCAGCTCATGACGTGGAAAGGAGTGGAGAAGTCAAGCCAGGAGATGTCATTCGTGTAGACGTCGACTGGGTCATTGCCTCTGAGCTATCATGGTCCGGCATGGCTTCAACCTATGATGACTTTGGGAAGCCAGGCGTCTTTCGAAATGACCGAATCTGGCTCGCAGGGGACCACGTCGTTGATCCCAGAATCATGGATCACCCCAAGATCAAGCCGCTTGTGGAGGCAAGTGAAAAGGCCCGCAAAGTGTTCAAGATGACCGAGTACCAAGGAATGAACTACACCATCATGCATACCGAGTTCTGCCGTGAGCGGGCGCAGCCGGGTATGCTCATCATCGGCTCTGATTCGCACACATGCTCGGCCGGCTCAGTGTCCGCGCTGGCGATTGGCATGGGAGTGGCCGATGTGACCATGCCGCTGGTGCTTGGGCAAACCTGGTTCAAGATTCCAGAGACGGTTGAGATCCGATTCATCAACCGGCCCAAGCCGGGCTTAGGAGGCAAGGATGTAATCTTGTACGTTCTCAAGGAGCTGAAGCGCAACACTGTGGCAGCAGACCGCGTGGTCGAGTACACAGGGCCTGGAGTCAAATACCTATCATGTGATGCGCGCTTTGCCATAGCCAACATGACTACAGTAAGTACCTCAAAGAAAGGCTACTCCTCGTCGTTATCTGTATCCCCAAAGCTGACATGATCAGGAATTTGGAGGCGTGTCTGGCATATTCGTACCTGACGCGATCACCACAGACTTTATTAATCGCAGAAAACACCCAAAGTACAGGAAACATGCAACGTACTATCAACCTGACGAGGATGCCGAGTACGCTGAGACTCATATTATAGACCTCGACAAGGTGGAATCCTTCGTCGCCCGGTACCCAAGCCCTGACGACGTCGTGCCGGTTGCTGATGTGGCCGGCACCAAGCTAGACGGGTGCTTCATTGGTGCCTGCACGACGGCAGAAGAGGATCTCATCCTTGCTGCTCTAGTTTTGAGGGCTGGTTTGGAACTAGGCTTGAAACCTGTGTCTCACGGGAAGCGCAAAGTCAGCCCCGGGTCACGACCAATCCTATATAATCTAAAGGCAAAAGGGCTACTGCAGATATATGAGGAAGCTGGATTCGAGATTGGTGTTCCGGGATGCAGCTACTGTGTCGGCATGGGCGCAGACAAGGCCGGCAAAGGCGAGGTCTGGCTTAGCAGCCAGAACCGCAACTTTGAGAATCGCATGGGTCCTGGTAAGTACTCAACAACATTCTTGCACCGCTATAGCTCAGCCTTTTCCAGGATATTAACGGTAAATCAGGCGCTATCGGCAGTATAACTTCTGCCGTGACGGTGGCAGCAAGTAGTTTCTCCATGCAGACGACTGATCCTAGAGAATTATTGGACAAAATAGATATGAAAGAGCTCAAGCATCTGCTAGGGACCAAGACGGCTCCTCCTCAGAGCATCACATATGTCCACCCTGCTTCCGAGGCCAAGACGACTGAAGCTCATGACGTTCAAGCTCCCATATCTACTACATCCCAAGAAGCCAACGCGGATGTACGGCGTGCTCATGCTACCACCATTAGCGGCAAGGTGCACAAACTCGAAGATTTTATTGACACTGACGCACTCGCCCCTGCGGAAGTAATCAGGCCCGACGTGACTCAGGAGGAGCTAGGAAACGGTTGCCTGAAGTACACACATCCAGGATTCGCACAGCGTGTCAAGGATGGTCGCAATATCGTCGTCGCCGGCAAGGCGTTTGGCGTTGGAAGCTCGAGGGAGAATGCAGTGGCCGCGTTGCAAGCAGCGGGCGTGCAAGCTGTGATTGCAAAGTCATTCGCGTTCATCTATGGTCGGAACCAGCCAAATCTTGGCATGCTCGGTTTCGTCATCACAGATGAAAAGTTCCACGAACTGGCTCAGGATGGAGAACAGATTGTGATTGACATGGAGCGCCGCAAAGTCCTCGTGGCCGGCCAAGAATTTGTATTTCAGTTGAGTGACTTGGAGTGGCAACTGGTTAAGATAGGTGGCATGACCAACGCGTTCCGTCTGTGGGGGAAGAATGTGTTGGAAACAATGACCGGTCAAAAGACGCCAGCTCATACTGTTTCCGGGGTCCTAGAACGGGACTCATCTGCTGAGGCAATGCAATGGTAAATAAGACAGAGACCATAGTCAACGAATTTAGCCTTAAACGAATACATAAACACCTAGATAGTTTGACCCAAGCGAATGGTAGCGATTCACCACAACTTGAGCTTCCCAATTGAACACAACTGATACCAGAAATATCAATTAATCTAAAGAAGGCTCTTGGAGTTCTTTTAGAATATATAACTACTTAATTCATACTTCTGGCTTACAAAATTAGTATCAAGTATACGTATTTTGAGTAATAGCTCCCACATTCTAGACAAGAACAGTTGAATACTGTTGTTGTTCCCTCGAAAATAAGATACTCAAGCTCCCTTCGATGATGATATTCAGCTTAGGAGTCATTTTAATGCCTCAAGACCGCATGTTTCACCGTTTAGAAAGTTTATCTGCACAAACTTGGAATGTCATTATCTTCAAGGTTGTGTAGGGTAGGGATGCGTAACCTCGGTCATTGGATTGGATGCCCGTTTGCTGCCTCAGGCTCTCACCCCACAATTCATCCCTGGAGACTTCCCCGCGACACATCCGAACGCCAATCGTTTTTATGGGGTCGATCCCCATCCAACAACCCGCTTACATATTGACATATTACTCCTCCATTTCGTATTTACGGCCATCACGCAGACTCGCTTTCACTTCAATCGCAGGTTCACATCAGCGTCCTACACGTATATGAAAAACCCCAATCACACGCAGGAGATCCCAGACCCACTAACTTCTTCCCAGCGCGCGAAAACCCTCGGCTCCTTCCGGCCATGGCTCCTGGTGAGCCGGAACCCGTTCTCAAAACTCACCATCCAGTCCTCGCCCCCCGGCCGCTAGGTCAGGGTGCCTTTAGCCCTAGAGCCAGGGCTGCATTGGAATACCAACAAGGCGGCATAGCTCAAAGACTTGAGAGGCATAAAGGAGGAAGCCGTGTGACCACTCGCGTACGAATCGCCTGCCAGCATTGCCGGCAGTCCAAGGTATGCCTATACTGCAAGATCTCTGCTTTAATAGATACATATGCAACTTGCTTGATATAACTATATTGACTGGAAATCCATAGTTGCGTTGTGAAGGCTCGTCCGGCGGACTTCACTCATGCCAACGTTGTAGCGAGCTTAAGCGGCCATGTGTATTTGACAACAAATTTAGGCGAGTTAGCAAGAAGGCGTAATAACTCCTCTATTTTTCACCATATCTGCCCTATTATTACTGATCTTGTTTCTAGAACTCTCAGTGATATTGTTGATCAAGTCAACCTTCTCAAGAATTTTAGTGCGCCGCCCCTTAATGATGCCACACTGAGTACATTTCCGGCGTCCTCATCACTACCACAACAGAGGACAGCAGTAAACTCAACAAATGTCGGGAGCCAGCGGCTCCTAGATGATTGTCAGAGGCCCTTCCCAGGAGATAATTTAGATCCTGATCGATTTGGCGAGAGAGAAAGCTCTCGTAGTAACACCACCACCTCTAATCATGGTGAACTATCAGCACAGGCTACGCATGTACGCTTGAGCTCACGAAATCTTGAGTCTGTCGAACTCACTCCAGATGAGATCGAGTCCTACTTTGAAATGTACTGCTCCTGTGATCCTCTCTCGGAACCTTGACTAACCAATTGGGTAGATTTCGCACTTCCTATCACCCAATCTTCCCCATCCTCTCCTTCCCTGTCTCGCCAGGTTGTATTTACGACTCCTCCCCGCTACTCTTCTGGACCATCATCGTCACAGCTGCCCGCCATGACGCTGCAGACTTTTCGCTATTGCTATCCCTTTTACCCGCAGTCAGACGGCTGCTCTGGTCCACAATCCCAGCCACCCCCCATACACTGCCATCGCTGCAAGCCATGGCAATCCTATGTCTGTGGGGTTTCCCCGTGTCTACTATGCCCGAGGACACTACGTTTATACTGTCGGGGATTCTCAAATCAGCAGCAATGCATGTAGGGCTTCATCGACCCGATATTCTTGACCTGTATTCTAGAACTCGGTCCAAACTCGGTAGACCAGAGCTTTTACGGGCTGTTAGGTGTTGGTGCTCCATATATCTCGCTATCGAAGGGTGAGTTGAGCATTTGGTTAGCTTTTACCTTTGATACTGATTGCTTGTCTGTGTAGTGCATCAATAGGCAACGGCCACCTTCCCGCCCTCCCAAATGATCATACCGTCGAGAAAGCCTCAATGGACTCGAATCCCTATGAGCTGCCGGAATCGTTGCACATGGCTATCGTAACTCAGTTGTTCTGCGACAGTATACACGCAGCATTCGGACACGTTACCACCTACAAGATTTCTTTAATTGACGACCACGAGTCCCAATTAAGGGAGCTCGAAACCAGGCTGGGTACTTTCAAATCTCGTCAGTAGACTTGACATATTATTGCATCTTTCCCACAGCTGACAGAGATAGGATTGGCATCTATTCATTTTCTCGCGGCGAGCTTTCAGCTTAAGTCATATTCTTTATTTGACGATGATGATTCAGTTGATCGGAGGCTTGCTGTCTTGAGAGCGTTTGACTTGGGCGTTCAGTATATTGAGGTCCTTCGACAAGCAGAGAAAGATGGCTTTCCGCCACGCTATGCTCCATTCATGACTCTAAGGATCTGTCTTTCTGCGGCCGTCTTCATATCCAAAGTAATACATTCCAGCTACGGCAAGTTTGTCGATCAAAGGGTGGGCAAAGCTGCCTTTAGCGCGTGCATACCGTTCTTCAAGCAGTCCTCTGTGGAGGATAACGATATGGCTGGCCGCACCACGACAATATTGTCCCAGTTGTGGGTGATACACAAAGATCTCTTCGATGCTTCGTCAGACACCCCGCCACGCCTTTCAGTCAAGTCACGCTCCTTTGCTAGCATTGCCCACGATGGACTCTGGCAATGGCGAGAGAGGTACGCAGGTACACCCAGCAACGGGGCGCCTAGTATCCCGCCACCCCTTATCTCTCCCGTCTCAATGGCAGTCGACGATTCGCCCCCTGCTGTAGGGCGTGTAGACACCCCTCCAACCGGCAATGTCGAGCGATCGGATTCCAGTAACTTAACTGGACAAGATGAGGATGGCTTCACTGATATCAATGCCATATACACGAACAACCAACAGCAGATAACGATCCAGCAACAGGAGCCCTCGCCTGGCTTATCTCTTTTTGGTGAGCCTGAGCTTGCATCGTGGGCTGACATGCCTGGAAATGACGACGCATTGACAGGCATTGATTTTGTCGACGAAAATGCCATGCACTTGGATTTGTTATTTCCAAGTTATATCATGGATTCAAACCCAACTATTGAGTAACTTGGGTGTGCGAACGACTCGTCTCATTCTTCTGAGCTCAATGCTGGTGCAAATAAAACGGGTGCTACTCTCATTGTACTTTTGTTGTCTTGTATGGTGATGTTATTCCTCGTCTATAGACCTCGCGAGGTCATGAAACTTCTTTGGATGTATTAGTGAAGACGAATGTCTAGGTCAAGAGGCTGGTTTATATAATCCAAGTGCGTCAGTATTCAAAAAATGTTCAAGCTACAACTACTCCGTGCACCTTGTCCATATACTGAGATAAAAACTCAAACATTACTCCCTGCAACTTGGGTAAATCAGAATCATCAGATTTCGCTTCTAACAGTACCAGTCATCAGCTAAATTCTGTCACGCACTTTCCGACCAAGGTTTATCTACAGATGTACCTACCAACCGCATCTTTAGCCCATGACAGTGGAGCAATTCATTGGACATAATTGGTAACATTACTGCAGGCTGACCAACAGCATCTGCAAAATTCAGGGCTTATTATGCGGCATATTTAAGCACAAGCTCGCTTACCAACAAACAACATCATGAAAGACGAGTACTCTTCCCATGTTTGGAGTTATTGTCCCTGGCCCTGAAAGTAAGCCAGTCCTTGACCATAAGCATTCCCGCATTTATTAAGGCCGAGTAGGCGAGGCAGTCAAGTTCTCCAAACAGCCAACAACTGCCTCGAGTCGATCAACTCCTAGCCATGTCGTTCTCATACATTCTCAGTGGAATTTTAGGTGAAATCCTAGGCCGCCGGCTCTCACGCGCATCTAAGGGCTTTTTGGATGCGCGAGGAAAATGGCAAGAAGCCTGTACAAGCGGTAAGGACCCCCTTTTCGGTAGAGTTTCTACTCCCTCTGAGGCAGGATCGTGCGCATGCTGTTCCTCTAGAAATATTCAATTGACCTTCTAGTTTATACTGACCATACATTGTTCTTAAATAGAGTCAATTCTTGCTGATTATGCCGATTACTTGCTTTATGGGAATCCCAAGTACCCACCTAGATTCACTTCATCAGAAGTCCAGGCTTTGAAAACCTCATTTCTGTCCCACGCGAAGGATAACAACTGTTCGTATTCAAAAAACTCATCACAATTCTACTACAATGAGATCTTTATTTTAACTTATATTTCCATGTTATTGTAGATTGGGACGTGCACTCATTTGAGTCCTTCCTCCTGACGCGGATGCCTCCTGAGGGGAAGTGCCGATCTCACTTAGTAGCGGCCATACCCTCTCTCTGGATGCTCACTACACACTTCGCTCAATGGCCATTCATCAGGTCCGCATCGAGCATACCGACTACTTTGACGTTCCCTGCCCTGGTCCGCGCGGTCGCCTTCCTGTCTGGTCGACATAGCATGCTGTTTGTGAATTGGGATTATGATGATGCGCATGTCGAGAGGACCGACCAGCTGGTACTCGAATACATCTTTAGACCCTTTGCTACCGTTCGTTCAACGGAAGAGGAGACCGCGACATGTCCTCCCCTCAACGATATAATCGACATCCTGAACACGGTCCAGCCAGCCGAGGGCGTTCTAACGGACACTCTTAATCGTGCCAAGCTGGCACCAATAGCTGCTCGCATTTCTTCCAAATTTGCTATCCCAGAAGTATCGGATCTCGTTATTTCATCCTCTAAGGTGCTGGCTCCGCTTCTTGACTTATGTGTCTTGCTTCTTCAGCATGCCACAAAATTCGATGGGGAGATTACAACTCTTATCGAATACCTTGAGGCCGCTCAATTTAAGCCGAAAAATCATACAGGAGAGGTATCGTTCGAGGTCTTCACGGAGTGGCTGGGTAAGAACCCAAACCAACATCACTTTTTTGACTCCGATGTCTATGATGCTATTGCCCTTGTATTTAACACCTTTCTGAATCCTGAGATCCTAACAGATGGGATTATGACACATTTTGAGGTTCATGGAGAAAAGGAGCGCAAGCATATGCTGATAGTCTTTGCGCTAAGGCGCCCTGGGCTTACAGGTGGAGGGTGGTTATAAGACTGATTTGCGTTTCTTTTGCCAGGGATTTTAGGACATTCAGGCCACCTGCTATAGCATATCGTCTTAATGAGACGTGATTTTAGTAGTCATTGTGCTAAGATGTTGGGTCTGGCATCTTCTGTTACTCTAGCCCATCGAGTACTGAAAATAGTTTTCCAGACCAGGAAGAGAGGCCAAGTCTGCAAACGTCGTAGGGATAAAATCTGGCATCAAGCTCAGGCCATCGTGCTGAGATGATGCTTCCCCTGGGCTGCTGTTATATGCCCATTCCATCACGGGCGAGGCATGCTGCGGTCTCAGCACCTCCCCAGGACCTGCCTGAAGTGTAACCCAGTTTCGGAACTCATTGTAGCCTGCTCCACCCAAGAAGGGACTATCACCATGACTCATACTCAGTTTGACAAGTGCCATTTCCAGAATCTCTAAGCCTCGCTTCTCAGAGCTCTTAGTGAAAACACCACCAGACATCATCTTCAGCAATGCAAGGCCTTGATCGCAGATGTCGTTAAACTCTATAGTCTCGGTGGTAATGCGTTGAGCTACCAAGGTCATCACTGCCGCGCAGCACGATGTAAATTCGGTATACGAAGACTTGGAAAGTCCAAATTCATCATTCAAAGTTTGACAGAGCTGAATGGAACTGACCGCGCTTTTGAGACAGTCTTGTATCAGCGTGTTTCGTGTATTGACCCATTCATACAGGTCATCAGGTTCAAAGTCCGAGCTGTCGAAGATGAAAGAGCGGCCAATAAAGATATGAGTAAGGTGATATGTGAGTGCGAGATGTATGTTCGATCGGAAAAGGGGCTGCCCCGGAGTCAGGTCTGTACAAAAAGTCTCTTGAGGCAGCCCTGCCCACCAGCTCTTTAATGTTTGATTTATATTCAAGGCTTTCTTAGCCGCGTCCTTGAGCTTAGGCTTTTTAGATTTTTTAATTGCCAAGCTGTAAAGTTAGCGATGTAGTTTGACGGCAGAATACAGTACCTACATAGCATCACGAGCATCCTCCATGATCTCGGTTAGGCTCTTTTGAGCCATCATATTATGATACGTGTTGACTCTCTTGGCTGACTGTGGTTCAATGCAATTGGATGGGAGATTGGCATTGATATCTGATCGCTGTATCGATGCCGGTCGACCATGCAGAATACAAACTCGCCTGTCCGCGATTAGCTTTGAATTCGTTGAAATCGCGTATGCTAACATCATAAGATCTCCAAATACCAAAAAAAAAAAAAACATATTGGAGAGTATATTGGCTCATGGGTTTGCCTACCTGTCTAGTGTATACACGGTCCACCAAATTCGATTGCGAACCTCCTGATCATAGGTCTTTGGCCCCCCAGGACCCTTCAAGTGCATATTGTTATGTATTGCAATCTTGATAGCAATGGCGTAATATCTGCTTGCCAAACCAGAGGGGTCTAGTGGAAGAGAATAGACGCCCATTAGTATGAAGGCCTGCACACTCTGTGGGCATCCGATAGCGAGGAGGTCAGGTATCATAGACGTTGCCTTTCGGTAGAAAGATAAGGCAAAAGCATCGTCTATTGCAGATGGTACATTAACTTCTTCACCATTTTCATATCTTCCTTTGTTCTTCTGGGCCAGGTGTGCAAACTGGGTGCTAACACAGAACACCATGAGTGCGGTGCAAACCCATGGCGCATCAGCAATTGTGAGAGGGGTCATCTGGGTATAGAATTCGGAGATTCGGTGCTGGATACGCTCGTCGACATAGAAGTAATTCGTTTGGGAGATGTTGAAGAAAATGTCAAGCAAGATGGTGGCAACTTCCGCGGGTGGGAACAGAGATGCTGCATCTTGGACCACGAAAGTCCGTGATAATAGCGGCTCTGCAGCCGCCACATTGATACTTCCACTCTGCAGCTCACACTATTAGTGACATCGAACAACATACGAAGTGCAATCGAGAGCCATACAGCATAGGGAGTGTCCAAATCAGGAGCTAATTTTTGTTGAATTTGGTGGGTGAAATCCAGATGGGAGAACTCTTCGTAGGCTGTAGAGTCAACGTTAGCGGAAGGTAACATTGATTTGCCGCCCAACATGGCGTACCTGGAAGAGAAGCTGGGTATTTCGTTCTAGCATCACCAGAACTGTCCTCGCTATTTCGCAGGTTCTCGAGACACGGTGAGGGTGCTGCGCTTTCTTTGTCTGGCCCCAGGCTCGATACTACTTCTTCAAGCGTAGCTGGGCTGCACTCTTGAACACTTGTATAGTGCTTGACGATAGTTTCAAGGTTCCTGATCCTATCGACATCGAAAAACGATTTTGGGTCAATAGGATCGGCCGGGATGTTTGGCTTCGGGACTGTGGGTCGTGCCCTCGTCCTTCTGTAGGCGTCTGTGAAGATGCATTGTCGATCTGCCTTGATGCACCTAGCACAAGGAGTTCCGCCGTTGCACTTTTCTTTCAGTCGCCGGCAGCCGTCGCATCTGCACTGCTTGTTAGTGGCCCCTATCAAGTTCCCCTGGCATTAAGTCCAAAACTGACGCTCGTGTCTTTTTTCTTTTCCGCTCGGCTGCTATGGCTGCCTCTTGGCGCTCTGGCTGGGGTGGCACAGGAGTAGGCCGGTCATCAGGGGTTGTGCCAATCTCTAGGGGTCCTGACATCGCAAATACGGCAGTAACCAATACCGGGCTGGTCCAGCTGTTGCAGGTTGCATGAGGTGTATGATGGAGATAACGACTGGTGTCGGTTATGTGGTGACTGTGCCGGTTTTGAGTCGAGTTTGTGCCGGTTTCGGTGCCGGTTTGGTGGGAATGGTGCCGGTCAGAGCGGTGGTGTGGGTCAGATACCATTCATGAGGCGTGATTGGTAAAGCCATTACGTTGGCTGGCGAGTCATCCTCATACCAGAATGCACTTGCTGATTTGCTATCGTCTTACAGGGAGATTAGCGTAAACTCTCTGAACACAATTAGCTGGGTGTCTTTGAGAGAAGTGGTTAGTTTCACGAAGGCTTTATCCAGGCAAACTATGCTATCTCGTTTCCCATTTCATTCCCTTTCATGTCTGTGTAAATAGTCTATTAGAGCTTAGATATTATTGTCTTTTAAAACCTTGCATTATTGACATGCTACACATAGTATTGGCCCAATGATTACCCATGTATGGATGCTTTCTACTAATGAAAGGGGATAAACTCTGGTTCAAATCAACTAGCCCATCTTGCCAGTCTCTCTGTTCCTTTCTACAGCTTCGATTCTCGTCCAGTCCTCCAGAGCGGTTCTAGATTCTCCTCCATAAGACTTCGCTTCGTGGATATTCTAGCCTTAGTTGTCTTGAAGATGCGCGGCAGACCCGAATTCTCAAATGGAATACCGTCGCGGACCATTGAGGCCAGACCCTTTGTCGAAAGTAGAATCTGCGGCATTCCGTGGCCAGTAAACCCAGCAATAATAAATTGACCGGGCTTTTCTGGAACCTCTCCAACATGAGGCATGAAGTCTGCGCTGTATCCCATGACTGAAAAATTTGTTAACGAGGATCTCACAAAATTTCGAAAGGTTCGATGGGGTGTAAGTCAGAACTTACTTCCAGTCCAGACTGCGTCTACTTTGGCACCTGAGTCCTCCCAACCGCGGAAATGCCGCTGCATGTAGTCGTCAAAGTATGAAACAGCCTCGTCAACTAGCTCATCGTCTCGTACAGTACCATACCATCGGTCCTTATTGTGCCAAAATCGCTGCCTTGCACCACCGACAATGATACTGCCATCAGGCCTTGGGATGAGATAGTCGTTATTGCGTGCGTCGAAGCGAATACCGTAAGTATTAATTAGGTGAGGGGTATCTGTACCCTTAGCACTGCTGATGTGACTACAGATGCCTCTGATGGGAACGATGCTTCGTGAATATTCAGGAAGAAGTTCCCCCGTGTACCCATTCGTGGCGTAGATGATCTTTTGAGCCTTGATCAACCCGCGTGAAGTCGTTACAGCCCATCTACCATTCTCGTCCTGGGATCCCGAGATTGATGATACTGGCGTGTGGGAGTATAGCTTCACGTCCTTGTTAAGCACCAGTTGAAGTAACTGGTGGATCATTTTCGATGGCCAAAGATGAGCTGCCGTATATGAGAAGCAGCATTGTGCGCCTTTAACACCCGAGATCTGTTTTATGGTTGTTAGCAGCTGCTAAATCAGGACAGACGAATAGAAGAAGGGACTAGAAATGCGAAATTACCCTTTCTGCGTCTTTCTTGGCTGTGAATGATGTATCATGAAGGTCAACGATACCTGCTTTTACCAAGTCCCGATACGCCGCCTCTGTCTGCTTTGCATGCTCTGGGTCTAGGAAGACGTCCAAAGCTCTGGTGATATTGAAGTCACAGTCTAGGCCTTCCCTCTCAACCAATTCTTTGACCGCGTAGACATGAGAGGCCTCAAACGCTGCCAGCTCCGCAGCCGCTGTGGCACCATATATTCTAGCATTTCTGGGGACATTGAGAAATGCATCCGGCTTGACATGTCCGCCATTGCGACCAGTGGCACCAGAGCATGGATCTCTGGCTTCTAGGATCGCAATGGACGGCTTGAAGGAGGTGTCTTGAAGCAGGTGATAGGCAGTGCCAACGCCAGCGATGCCTGAGCCGATGATAACAATGTCAATTTCGGATGGGAGATCCTCAGTGCTTCGGAAATCATCCAGCGGACGAGGATCTGCGTTCCAAAAAGAAGTCACAGGGTTATCAACAGGTGCCATTTTGCCAGCTTTCGTTTGTTTGTCGGCCATGTTCATTAATGTTGCACGTTCTTGGATATAGGTAGAACCGGAGGAAATGGGCTCAGGTTGGTCTATGGGCCATAGATGTTGTTGACCTTGGCACCAATAAGAAAACAACTAAACTCCACAAACGGATTGGTCTTTAGTTGGTGAGTGTTCGTATGGTAGCAACCCAAACTAGCTGGAACTCGCTGGAACTCGCATTTTAAGGGAACAGCTGCTCAGTGTAGTGGCGGAACTGGGCCGT